GCCGCGTCAAGGGCTGCGGCAACCTCAAGAGCTACCCGGACCGCCTCATCGACGCCATCATCTACGGCCGTGACCTGGCACCCGGCGAGGCGGAGGAGCTGGTGAGCGAGGAGCGCTTCGACAAGATCAAGTACTACCTCAAGTACGGCAAGTACCCCAACGGCGCCGACCGCGCCGAGAAGAGCCGCCTGCGCAGCGCCGCCACGCACTACAAACTGCTCGACGGCGACAAGCTCATGCTCAAGGACAAGGAGGTCATCGCGGATCCGCAGCGGCAGTACGAAATTGCGCGTGGCGTCCACGTCATGCATCATGGCGGCATCAACAAGACCACAGCCACCATTGCCGAGAAGTACCACTGGAGCCGCATCAAGGAGACGGTCAGCGACGTCATCCGCGCCTGTGCCGAGTGCAAGGAGCTGGGCAAGACGCCCAACCCGGGCGGCACCAAGAAGACGGCCGCCGCCGCTGCTGCCGCTGCCGCTGCCGCTGCCGCCGGTGCGTCTTCTACTTCTTCTGCCGCTGCCGCTGCAGCTTCTACCCCTTCTTCGTCGGCGCCGACGCCGGCTCCTCCTCCTCCTCAGGTGCCGGTCTCGGTGGTGGCCACCCCTGCGGCCATGGTAACGACGACGACAGCTACACCAACGCCCATCCTGCCGAGCAACGGCCCGCCGCGGAACCACACGATGCCGCCGAGCATGGGCACCACGGGCCGGATCCTGGCGCTGCAGAGCCACGAGTCGATGCTGTCCCTGTCGCCGAGCTCGAGCCCGAGCCCCGGCGCGTACGCCAACCCGAGCGACATCTCCGTCATCCCGCCGTCGCAGACATTCCAGCCCGCGCAGGCGCTGCACCACCACCCTCAACAGCAGCAGCCGCCGCCGCCGCACCAGCAGCAACAGCATCACCACCACGGCCTGCCACCTCACGAAGCAGCAGCGCACCACCATCACCAGCAGCAGCAGCATCACCACCACCTCCAGGCGCTGCATCATCATCACCAGCAACAGCAACAGCAACAACAGCAGCAGTCTCCGCTGCACCACCCCGGCGTCATCCATCACGCGGCAGCAGCGCACCACCACCACAACCCCATGCTGCAAGACCAGCCGAACCAGCACGAAGCACACGTCTACCAGCCCATCGACCCGCAGATCATCAACCACCACCACCACCACCCGCAGGCGCACCACCACGACCCCATGGCCTTTGAGCACTACCACCCGCACCCCGACTTCCAGGCCCTGCTCAGCGCCACGGAAGACGTCGTCCCCTCGCAGCCCGACGATTCCGTGCCGCCGTCCGTCGTGGACACGGATCTGGAGATGCTCATTGAGCATGATGCCGTGGACGACGTCGACGTCGACGACGACGGCACCGGCGGCGGCGGCCATGTCGTTGTTGGACATCAGGCCGATCACCACGGGGCGCACGTCATGGATGAGGACGTCATGGTCGATGGGCTGGGCGGCGGCGGCGGCGCAGCAGCGCAGGTGATGAGGAGGATAGGGCATAGGGACGGGAGGGGGATGTACGACGTCAATTTCGGGGGGCCTGCTGGATGAAGCCTCCCTTACTTCTCTCCAACCTACAGGTACCGTTACTGGCGTATCTTGCTTGCATTTTTGCCCTTTTTACATCATTTTTTTTTTTTCGTTCTGGTGTAAGTTTTTCTTTCCTCTTCTTCTTCTCTTCTTCAAATTCATACGCATCGTTGAGAGTTGGTGGAGTTCAAGTCCGTCTGCTTTAGGAATTGGCAAAAGCAAATGTAACCTTGTTTCAAGATGGAGGAAGGAGAGAGAGAGAGAGACAGAGAGAAGTTGGGAAGTTGATTGAAGCGATGATGACGGATGATGATGGCATGCACGGAAATTCATGGCGACGAAATGAAACGAGTATGTGTATATATGTGTCGATATAGCTTTTGGTGCGAAACGCGTGAGAGGGGGGATGCATTGGGCGGCGGGAGTTGGATGATAGACATGGCCATATAGACTTTTTTTTTCTTTCTTTCTTTTTTTGTTTTACATGCAACAAAAAAAATATATTCCTCTTCATATCTCAAGAATCATCCTACATCACTAGTTACTCCGATCCTACTTCAAACGATTGTACAGGAAAAGACGGGGAGAAAATCAAACTACACAGGGAGGATGCAACTGTCGTCGGAAAAAAAAGTTCATAATAAGTTCTAGTAGATGACAGAGGCCCATTTCTAGGTATCTTACAGATCCTCAAAACCTCCAATCCATTTTCTTTCATTTCTTTCCTTTTTTCTTTTGCTGTTCAAATGCTTTCAAAACCCTCACACATCTTATTCCCCCCCTCCCCCTCTGAATCTTACCGTCGAGGCATGCCCCGTCCTCTGCCTCTGAGCGCCCTCTGCGCCGCTCCGGGCGGGAGCTGCTGTCCCGGCGCCTGCGGCTGGGCGCTCTCCTCGTTGCGGATCGTCTCGTCGACGCCCAGGATCAGGCACGCCGCCTCGGTGGCCGCCTGCAGCGCGTTGACCTTGATGAGCGCGGGCTCCCACACGAAGCGCTCCAGCATGTCGGCGGTGCCCTCGTTGGTGAAGTCGACGCCGGCCCACGTGTTGCCCTTGCGGTGCTCGACGCGCAGCTTGTTGAGTATGTCCGTGGCGTCGAAGCCGGCGTTGTCGCACAGCTGGCGCGGGATGATCTCGAGCGCCTTGGCGAAGGCCTTGATGATGGCCTGCTGCTTGTGCGGGATGTTCTTGTCGGCGTACTGGTGCAGGTAGGCCGAGACCTCCATCTCGACGGCGCCGCCGCCGCCGACAATGGTCTTGTTCTTGACGGCGCGCTTGACAATCATGATGGCGTCGTGCAGCGACCGCTCGACCTCGGCAATGAACTGCTCGGCGCCTCCGCGCAGCACCAGGGTGCACGTCTTGGCCTCGGGGCAGCCCTCGAAGAAGTTGTAGCGCTCGCCGCCGATCTGGCGCTCCTCGAAGCGCTCGCAGGTGCCGAGGTGCTCGGGCAAAATGTCGGAGCACGTCGACTGGACGACGGCGCCGGTGGCCTGGGTGACGCGCTCCATGTCCTCCGAGGCGACGCGGCCGGCGCAGAAGACGTCCCGGTCGGCAAAGTACTGCGTGGCCAGGTCGCCAATGGGCAGCTTGCTGAGCACCACCTTGGCGCCCGTCTTGGAGATGGCCTCGAGCTTCTGGTAGATGATCTGCCACTCGGCGTCGACAATGGCCTGGTATTCCGACACCTGCTCGACGCGCACCTCGGCGTTGTCCTTTTCCGCCTTGAGCTCCAGCTCGACGTTGAGGCACACAATCTTGGGCTTCTGGAACGACTTGGGCTGCTGCTCGAAACCCGCGTAGGCGAACGTCTTCTTGAAGGCGACGCCGTTGACGAAGCGCGACTCGGTCAGGGAGCCGCCGGGGATCTTCTTGATGCCAATCAGTTTTTCGTTGAGGTCGTTTTGGTCGAGGGATAGGACGGCGTCAACCACCACTGTGACAAACGTTGTCAGCTCTCTGCATCGTTATCCATCATTTTGATATCCCCTCGGGGTGGTCCCTACTCTTTGTGAAGAACTCCGTGTTTCGCTTAATCAGCTTGCTCGTCATGGCGGTGGCGGCGAGCTTGCTCAGGGTATCGCGCTGGCTGCCATCCTCGGTGCTGACGGCAATCTCCTTGATCTTGTTGACGGCCATCTGGACCGCCCTCCTCAGGCCCTTGATGATGATCTGTGAGCTGACACCCTGTTCGACGTGCTCCTTGACCTCCTTGAGGATCTCTCCGGCCAGGACGACGACGGACGTGGTTCCGTCTCCGACCTCTGCGTCTTGTGACCGTGCGATGTCGACGAGGATGCGGGCGGCGGGGTGGACGATGTCGAGGAGCTGCAGCATCGACGGCAGTTAGCTGGCATGTTGCCTATAATCCAGTAGAGCAACTGTGTATGTGATGTGATGATTGGATCGGCGTGATGCCTGATGTCTCGACCCGTACCTTCATGACCGTCGCGCCGTCATTTGTAATCGTCTGCTTGCCATTCTGATCGACCATCAGCAGGTCGCCGCCATAGGGGCCCAGCGTCGACTTGATGGTGGCCTGGACCGCCAGGCAGGCATTGATGTTGGAGACGATCTGGCCTTTGCCCTGCGAGGTGTCGGTGCCTAGAAGTGCGGAAGATGCCACGGTCAGCTCTCTGTCCTTGTCTCGATGGCCCGCGATGTGGCAGCGGTGGGCGGAGGGGTAAAATATCGGCCGGGCTGACCTTCTTTCAGGACAATGATGGTTGGGGTCTGGCCTCCAAACGACATTTTGGCGGTTGGGGTTTGTCAAACTAACAAAGGCCCTTGAGAGTAAATGAAGAAAAGGCAAACGCTTTCCCGGGATGACGAGGCTGAACGGCGGAGGGCTGTTTCGTTCGGGGGGGCGGATGCAAAAGGGGGCAATGCGGACGTCTTTTCGTCTGCGTGCGAAGCTGCTTGTTCGAGCTCCGGAAAATTGTTGCAGCCTTGACGATGGGCTTGGGCGCACGGACCAGGGCTCAGGGACTGCAGTGGTTGACTGACTGACTGAGCCCCTCCAACCCCTTTGGGCTTGGGCACTAGAAGCGTCTACGACCCCGCCATAGAGGACTTGATGAGGGGAGGGACGTTGTAGTTGATGTCAGGAGGAAGAGATATGGCGAGTTGAAGCGATATATACGTTGTATGATGTAGAATTCCCATCTATTGTTGTGTTATTTGAGGTGAATGACGCTTCATCTGAATACCAAAGATATGGTAAGGTTTCAGGCCTTTATGAACGATGTTGACTACCTTCTACAGTATACAGCTGGAAGTTGGGTATCAACATGAATTAGCTGCAGTATTGCAGCACTGAGCTGCTGCCATACATATATCGAAGCAGCAAACTTGGACGACGTGACAGCCTTTGGTATTAATATCATGTTTACTTTTAAAAAAAAACATCACTGACTCAATGTCCAGTCGGCGGTTGTGCCTTTCCCCTTCCAGGCGCCGCTTCAAACTTGGCCTTCCATGCGTCTTCCTGCTTAAACATGGAGACGCACTCCATGGCTGTCGGGCTGCCATAGTCAGGGTCTGCACCACCTTCTAACAGGGCCTATAGAAGGGATATCTGATCAGTATATCGCATTGAATCTGAAATGGAAGAGATGGAAAGGTGTAGAAAATGCACACCTCAATTACGGCATCCTCCTTCTTAAACACGGCTCCAGCGAGGGGACTCTGCCCTCTGTCGTTGAGGCGGTTCGGGTCCGCGCCGTGCTGTATCAGCAGCCTGACAAGGTCTGCATGTCCGTGATATGCGGCGAGCATGAGCTTGAAGAAAAGAGAAGTGGCGTAAGCCATATGGAGCACAGATATAGAGCATTGTCAAAGCGCGCAGTTCGACTTGGCGGTGCTTTGTCCTTGACCTGGCCTTACCAATGTGTCACCCTTTTCGTTTGTCATGTTGGGAGGGAGCCCGGCCGGAAGTGCTTGTTCAAACACGGCAGTTTCTCCTTTTCGAGCAGCGTCGTACATTCTGCTGGCGAATGCGATGACATCCGGCGTGAGCGTCGGTGGTGGTGCTCCGGCAGCTTGACTGCCTGACGGCTGCTGAGAGGCGTCCATGTTCTTGGAAGATGCGTGCTAGAAAGCTCAATATTCAGCTCTGAGGAATGGTTTAGTATTTGTCTGGTCGTCTTGAAAATCAAGTGTCTTTGAAGAGCGGAAGAGAGGGATGGAGCAAGTTGAATAGTAGTGATACACAGCTCCCTCCTCATATGAAGTTGAGATGCCGAGCTCCGAAGGTGTGCGTTGAGCAATGACGTCTGAGGAGGTACTTTGCGCGGCATATCGCGACAATGCTGGAATTCACTCGGCAACTCGTGAAAATTAAGGATTAAAGCATGATGAGACTTTTGTCAAGATGCGCCAGATAGTTATAATCAGTCATCTCCTTCAGATCATACATTAGTAAAGAAACAACAGGTATTACTCTCTCGACGTGTGCTCATTTCTTGCTTGTTTCTCCGCACAGCATACCCTGCACTAATTGGTAGCTCTCGACAGCTCTCTCACATACCATAAGACGCCGAGAAGCCAATTCGAATAAAATTGAAATTTCTCAATCTAGGAAACAGATCCAATAACTGTACATCGCTTGCTCAACTCCATTACTTGTTCATTCTGAAAAGAAGAAAACTCGCCACAGTATTGTGTGCTTCGAACTTGTCGGCGCATCGTCTCATCGGCCGTCCGAAGAGTAGAAGGTTAATTGAAAAATCGCTGCATAGCCGTTCCTCAGTGCATCGTCTCTGAGCGTCATCTCATCATTTAGTTTTACCCCGAATCGTTCGACAATCATCTTCCGCAATCAGCATGTCGACATCGCTCGAATAATCGACCGAGAACTCACTGCATTCTGGCCCTCGCATTCCCGAGCGGCTCTGCCGTCATCAAGGCTTTCGGCTCGAACTTGCCCCTCACTGACAGTAATCCGCAGTGCCGTCGCCCTCGGTGGTGTCGGGCTCGCTGGGACGAGGGGACTCTGGCTGTGGCGTCTCTGGCCGGTGCTGCGGCATCTTTGCGCTTTGATGAAGTCCGAGGGGTCGATGCTTGGATGGAGGAATTGGTGGGGAGTTGGTTTCCTTCACCCTGCTGTAACACTTAGCGATGGAAACGGCGACTTGTTGCAAATGCGGCAAAACGTGGCAGTTTGAAGCAATTGATGGGCTATCGTCAAAAACCGAGACAGAAATGGAGGGGACTTATAAGGCCCCTATCAAGCCCTTTTCAAGCTTTTCAAGGGAGCATTTGCCATGGCACAGGCTCGCTGTCCTCGTGATGAGCATCGTTACGTCAGGAAGTAGCATTTGTGTAGCATCTGTGCGTCTGCCCGCGGCCGGCTGGACAAGCCGTGGACAATGGGCGAAAACCGAGCAGCATGAGCGAGCGTCTCTGTGAGAGGACAATTGGGGGGGAGAGAAAAATGGCTTGGAGGCAACAGAGACGCCACGCAGGTTAGCAGGACGCTTGAGTTTTGCACAACGGGACGGGGAGAAATGGATCTGAAAGCTAGCAGCACTTGTTCTTTTGTCTTTTCACCAAGATGGTCCGCGACGGCTTTCCGAGAGGAATGCCTACATCGAAGCTACTTGGCAGGTCGGGGGTGGCGTCGCCGGCCTCGGCTTGAGATATCTACTGGGTAGCAGATGGTATGGTATGGTGTCAGCCTACATCAAGGTGATCTGGATGTAACGTGCAACGGAGGCAGCCTCTGTTTCGCTGACGATGCAAAGGTATGTAGGTAGGGAGTAGACTAGACTAGAGGCTGCTCGTATCAGTGAAGCTCTCAACACCCCAGCTTACCTTAGTAGTAGACTGACTACCACCGGGCCGGTCTCACATGTGAATCGAGCCAGTCTATAGCGCGGGCAAACATGTATGCGCCTTCGTATCGTAGCATTGAAAGATTTCATACTATCGCTTCTGTACGCGGTATAGTAGTCCAGATTGAAGATGGAACGCCATCACCGATGCCACCTTAACAGATTCACACCTCGACAGGCCTGCCACATGCTAGCGCAGCATCTCACTGTATTCATGTTGGCCCCTGTAAGCCCTCGCCGTTCGGAGCCCCGCCCCCGCCGCTTGCAGGCGCTGTAGCTGCAGCTCGCGGGCCTTTTCTGAGCGCGGTGGTCCGAGGGGTGACGTACAGATCACGCCAGATGGTGATGCGAGGGTGCGCCCAGCTCTCTGCATCAGCCAACCTCGTCTGCGCACCACCAGCTCTAGCATCGAATCAGCGTCGCCAATCTCGCAGGATCCCGCTGGACGTCATGGATTGCGTTCCCCAGAAGCTCGCTCGCACATGCGGCCCAGGTTCCAGGTCCGGGAAGGGGGCCCGGCCTCTGGCGAGCTGCGCCTGGGCTGCCTCTGCCTCTGCATCAGCATCCTGCTGAGCTCGTTCGATTGCAACATCGCCTGATAATATCAAACTCTGCACGCTGCTGCTGCTTCATCGCCCCCTGTGGTCTTTGTTTTGCCGACAGCTAAGCTGAATCGGTCTCGGCCTGCCTGTCAGTTGGTCTCAAGCATCGTCGACTACGGGCAAACGAGCCGCTCGTCTCCCCTAGGCGCATCCAAAAGCATCCCAAGCATCCACCGAGGCACCAAACAAGTGGCAAGCCATCGCATTGTCCGCAGATCACCCTGACGCCGGTCTTAGCAAACTTCCGTGTCGGCGGAAGCTGTCTACTAGCCTCCGATCTGATCTGGTACCTATATAACGGAAGAGGCGCGCTTCGTATTAGTGACCTCTTCGCTTTTGCGTCCCAGGACAACTCCCTTCTTCAACACTTACAACCGTCTCAACCTATACAACAATGGCCGACGTCCAGTCCATTCGGGCATTCGGCGTCGCCCGCTCGACCGTCACGGGCAAACCCTTGTCCGACGAGGAGATCAAGCAGTACAATGACTACTTCAAGGCCAGCTGCTACCTGGCTCTGGGTATGATCTACCTGAGGGAGAACCCCCTCCTTCGCGAACCCCTCAAGAAGGAGCATCTGAAGGCTCGTCTGCTCGGCCACTTTGGTTCCGCCCCCGGTCAAATCTTCACATATATGCACTTCAACCGTCTGATCAAGAAGTATGATCTGGATGCCTATTTCGTCTCCGGCCCCGGCCACGGTGCTCCGGCCGTTCTTTCGCAATCCTATCTCGAGGGCGTCTACTCAGAAGTCTACCCCGACAAGTCACAAGACGTTCAGGGTCTTCAACGATTCTTCAAGTACTTCTCTTTCCCCGGCGGTGTTGGATCCCACGCAACCCCCGAGACCCCAGGCTCCATCCACGAAGGAGGAGAGCTCGGATATTCCCTGTCACATGCCTTCGGCTCCGTCTATGACTACCCCAATCTCATCGCCCTGACCATGGTGGGTGATGGCGAGGCAGAGACTGGACCCCTGGCCACTGCTTGGCACAGCAACAAGTTCCTCAACCCCATCACCGACGGTGCTGTACTTCCCGTTCTCCACCTCAACGGTTACAAGATTAACAACCCCACAATCCTGGCCAGAGTCTCACACGAGGAGCTCAAGGCTCTATTCCACGGCTATGGATGGACTCCTTACTTTGTCGAGGGAGATGACATCGAGACCATGCACCAGGCCATGGCCGCCACGCTCGAGCACTGCGTCAATGAGATCAGGCGCTATCAGAAAGAGGCCCGCGACAGCGGAAAGGCCACCCGGCCATTGTGGCCCATGATCGTCCTCCGAACACCAAAGGGCTGGACTGCACCCCGCAAGGTGGACGGCAACTATCTCGGAGGCTTCTGGAGGGCGCACCAGGTCCCCATTACCGACCCCGCCACAAACCCCGAGCACCTCAAGATTCTCGAGGACTGGATGCGCAGCTACGAGCCCGACAGGCTCTTTGACGAGAGCGGAAAGCCCATTGCCTCGTTGACAGCGCTGCCCCCCACAGGCAACCGCCGTATGAGTGCCAATCCCGTCGCCAACGGCGGTCTTCTCAGAAAGCCCCTGCACATGCCCGACTTCAAGAAGTACGGCGTTGCCGTCGAGCACCCTGGTGCTGTCATCGACGCTAGTATGAACAAGCTGGGAGTCTTTCTGAGAGATGTTGTTGCTGCCAACCTAACAAACTTCCGACTCTTCGGCCCAGATGAGACCGAGTCAAATAAACTGTCTGCTGTGTACGAAGCGGGCAAGAAAGTCTGGATGGGTGAGTACTTTGAGGAAGATGAGAATGGCGGCAATCTTGCCCCGGCCGGCAGAGTAATGGAGATGCTTTCAGAGCACACCTGCGAGGGATGGCTGGAGGGCTACATTCTCAGTGGCCGTCACGGCTTGTTGAACAGCTACGAGCCTTTTATCCACATCATCGACTCCATGGTCAACCAGGTAAGTCGGGAACCATCAAAGTACCTAATGTGAATCTCACTAACAAAATGGATAGCACTGCAAGTGGCTCGAAAAGTGTTTCGAGGTGGAGTGGCGTGTCAGGGTTGCCTCCCTCAACATCCTCTTGACATCCGTTGTCTGGCGACAAGACCACAACGGCTTCACCCACCAGGACCCTGGCTTCCTGGATGTAGTTGCCAACAAGAGTCCCGAAGTTGTTCGAATCTATCTTCCTCCCGATGGAAACTGCCTGCTTTCTGGTAAGAATGTCAATCACTCATAGGCGCGTACACTGCTGACTATTCGTGCAGTCATGGATCACTGCCTCCGGTCCTCCAATTACGTCAATGTAGTCGTGTCCGATAAGCAGCCTCACCTTCAGTACCTCGACATGGACGCCGCCGTTGCCCACTGCACAAAGGGCATCGGCATCTGGCCAAAGTTCAGCACCGACATTGGACAGGACCCCGATCTCGTCATGGCCTCGTGCGGTGACATCAGCACCCACGAGACGCTGGCAGCCATCGACCTGCTGCTCCAGCACTTCCCAGACCTCAAGATCCGCTACGTCAACGTCGTGGACCTGTTCAAACTGATCCACCCAAGCGAGCACCCCCACGGCCTGAGCGACAACGAGTGGATCAGCCTGTTCACGGCAGATACGCCCATCATCTTCAACTTCCACAGCTACCCCTGGATGGTGCACCGCTTGACGTACAAGCGACCGGGAAGCCAGAACATCCACGTCCGCGGATACAAGGAGAAGGGCAACATCGACACTCCTCTGGAGCTGGCCATTCGCAACCAGACGGATCGGTTCAGCCTGGCCATTGACGCCATCGACCGCATGCCTCAGCTGCATAACAAGGGCGCGGCTGCTCGACAGGCCATGCTGAACGACCAGATTTCCGCTCGAAACGAGGCGTTTGAGAGCGGCATGGATCCGGAGTACTTGACCAAGTGGACGTGGAAGCGAGATGGTCTGTGGAACAAGAAGAAATAGACTGCTAAAGGGTGGAAACGGGAAATGGATAGGATGGAGTTGGGGACATGGTTTATATCTTCTAGACTACTAATGGCGGTGGTCGTGCTGCAACTGTATATTCATGATATGTTGAACATTTTACTATTGATTTTAAGTCGACATGTGGCTGCATTTTAATCATCATCGGTATTTCCTTCTTTGAGACTCATGTACCAAGGGGTTGAAGCCTCCACGCGCGCATCGTCAGGTTTGATGGCAGCACGATGAATCTGGGTCCCGATCTAGATCGTGTACCTTGATGGCTTACATCCAGCCTGGGGATGCAAGGATGTATGACGGGTTAAAGTAGCATCGAGTAAGGTATGCTGTGACACATGTAACAAATGGATATCACGGAGAAAAGGGTCGATCAAAGCGCAGTTTCTCAAGTATCGGATTGTTTGTTCTGATCATGAGGTAGGGTATGTAATGACCTTCATACATATCTCGTCTTCTTAGATACCTTGACATAAAAAACGTTTGCTCGAATCAAACACACGGCCTTTCAGCTGAGGGATGGTTCTCAACACCCGGAAGCCCATTGACAAGTCATAAAGTGTATCGTGAATCATGTATTCTTTCTAATGAGTCGACCTCCAGTTCCAGCCCTGACTCTCTCTTCACTATTCATAGTGCCATCCTGCCAACCCCTCAGTGCCAACCAGGAACCCGCAGGACCTGCCCCGGGTAAATCATGTCCGGATTCTGAATCCCGTTATGCCTCGCAATCTCCTCAAACGAAGTGTTGTATCGCGCCGCAATCCCCCGCAGCGTATCGCCAGCCTGCACGGTGACGGTGCCGCCATGCACCCCGCGCGACCTGGACCCGGAGCGGGAGCGCGAGCGGGAATGACGGCGGCGGTGCTTGGACGAGCCGCCGCTGCTGGAGCTGCTACTGCTGGAGCTGCTGCTGGAGCGCGAGCGGCTGCGGTGCTCGTCCTTGTGCTTTTTGTGCTTCTTCTCCTTCTTCTCCTCCTTGTACATGTTCGCGTCGTGCTTTTCCTCCTTGCGCTCGTGCCGCCAGTCCTGCACGCCGTCCTGCAGCTTCGACCCGGCAATCGCCCCGACAATGGCCCCGACCACGCCGCTCGTCTTCGCGTGCCCCGTCGCCTGGCCGCCGAGCTTGGAGCCGCCAAAGGCTCCCGCCGCGCCTCCGGCCAGGGCGCCCATCAGGCCTCGCTCGCCCTCCTGCGGCGCGGCGCCGTAGCCCGGGCCGTCGCTGGGGTACGGCGGCGGCGGCTGCTGGTATAGCGTGTGGTATTGCTGCTGCTGCTGCTCGGCCGAGGCGCCCTCGTAGTAGGCGTTGGCAGAGCCGCCGGGGTGGCCCTGCTGGGGAGGGTACTGGTTGTGGTGCTGAGGGGGATATTGGTTGTCGTGTTGAGGGGGGTATTGGTTGTTGTGCTGAGGGGGGTACTGGTTGTAGTCGCCGCCCTGGTGACCGTAGTCGCCGCCTTGGTAGCCGTAGCCGCTCATGATGAATTCGAGTTTTGGGAGGAGAGTCGAAAGGACGGTTCGCGGTGGAAGAATGAGAAGAACTGGATTCGAAGTTGTCCCGGTTTCTAGAAGACCAGTGGCGGGACAAGGCTCGCTTTTGTAAGACGAACGACAACTTATACACCCCGTGCTACACAAGCAAAGCTACGGGTAGCTGGCCCATCCAACTCCACTCCCCTGCGTTGACAAGAGTGGCTTGTAGCATGGGGAACACAGCCCCCAATATCACACTGCCACGTATGCTCGCGAATGGGGGATTGGCGGCCTATGATGTCGCAGCATCGGGAGGCGGCAGGAATGCAGCCCTTTTGCTGTATGTAGCACCATGCGATTCTCATGTCCAGATTCGAACAAATGTGACCTTGATCGGCGGGAGATATAGTAGCAAACTACCGGAGTCCGGAGTCAACCTGTCAACCATTCTTTGTCGAGATGTGGCGGTGTATCCGAGAGGATGGCGGGTTGGGCGGGCACTCCGTATGAGTATGTGTGGGTTATATACGAATTGAAACAAGCCGTCCTTTTGCCCAAAAACTCGGACTCGTTGGTGACATTGTTCAACATGAAGTATTCGTACGGCTTCGTATCAATTTCATGTATTCTACTCGTTAGTCGCCAAAACGAACCGAGGTCAACTGAGGCCATAGAGAGACTCACCCTCATAGACACCGCATCTCATCCCGGCATATCAATGCACGCCCAGCCATCAATCAGCCTGCCAAGAACCCTTGTAGCCCATTTGCGCCATCACCCGCCGTGCTGCTCCACAGAAACGGATCCCTGCATATGGCATCCCTTCTTGGAGTGGCTTCCGTTTGTCTGCAACTACATGTCATGATATACTATTCAGAGAAGAATATCGGGCGACAAAGAGAAGAGCAGTAGGCAAGCCAGTGAATTTTCAGGCATGCTAGAGCATTCCATGGGCTGCGGACGGTGGCAGCAAAAGATACAAGACTGCTACGAGCGGAATCGCGACATTGCCAATCTGGTCAAAGGTGACCATCTTTGTGTTGGTGAGGGACGAGAGACGGCGAGTGGTTGCTTTGCAGTTTCGAGAAGAGCGTTCGATTTGTAGTTGTGAGAATGGTGGTTGATCTGCAGCTTGGAGGAGAGCAGGCCCGGCATGAATCTTTGGCAATGATCGTAATCGACTCAAGCTTGAACATCAAAAGAAAAGAGAACGAGTTGAAGAGGAGGAATGAAAGAGGCGGCGAATGGGGATTCTAAGGTACTCGGAGAAGGGAGAAGGAAGCTCCCGCGAAGACGGCGGCAGGAGCAACTGCTGACTGCCACCTGCTCGCTCAAGAAGCTACGGTCAGGTACATGTACCCAATGGTTCAAGGTTGGATAAAGCTCCAACCTTGAAGCTCAACAAGGACGAGGCTCAATACACCAAAGCACCAATGGGTTTTGCGTGAATTGGAGAGATATGAATAGGGCTATAATGATGCTGCTTGGCGACGACACTCGGAAGATGGAATCGGTCAATTGGGGACATGTGAATGGTGGAGTCTCGACCAGGGAACTCTTCCGTCTGATATCTCCCCGAATGTACTTGACTGTTATGCGGACAGAACAATCTTCATAACTTGGCTTTGGTCTATCTGGACCTCGTTTGACCCTGTTGCCAGTGATTTAATGCCCTGGCTTAGGGAGGCTGGATATAGCCCCTTTCTCGAGTCATCTTTCTGGGCCTCTAAACCATCACGGGTCCGACCTTTGTCAAGGTTAAAGAAGACTTTGTAGTCGCTGCCCTGAGCTAAAGAGATACAACATGGTTGAATAAAGAGGCAAGTTTGCGGGACGGCGATAGCAATCGATCAGGGACCGATCCGAGAAGAAGAGGCGTCTATCTACCTGATAGCATATTCCAAGAGCAATGATATTGAGGATTTCTGCAGTAAAACATATCGCTTCCAACGCCTCAGATCCCAAAATACAAAGTTTTCAACTTTCACGCAGAATGCCAACTCATCATGATGCCCCTGAACTCATCAAACCTTGACCCATTGGAACCCAACCTGCGTGTACCTCGCCAGCAAAAACATCAAGCATCCCATCATCATGGCACAGCCACAAAACACCTGCAAACCCACATACTCGCCATGCTGAGCAGACACAATGGCGCCGCCAATCGGGCTCCCGACCAGCGCCCCAAACGACTGCACCGCAAACACCGTGCCAACTCGCGTGCCCATCTGGCTAATGTCCGAGATCTGGGCCACCAGTGTCGGCCCGAGGGCCATGACGCCTCCGGATGCGAAGCCGAATATGGCGACGAAGACGATGATGCCCGCCATGTTCTTGACAGGAACCCAGACGGCAAGGCAGAACACGGATGAGACAAACGTGATGATGATCATGACGTTGAACCGGCCAATCCTGTCCGCCGCAACGCCCGGCAAGATGCGTCCCAGGACGCCCACGGCGTTGAGGATCGGCAGCAGGTACGGCACCAGAGCCGGCGAGAAGCCTGCCCTCTGGGCCTGGAGGATCACGTAGTTGAACGGCAGAAACATGCCCATCATGAAGAAGAAGGCGGCGACGGCAATGGCAACCAACCGGACGTCCTTGAGATTGTCCACGTACTCCCCGAGCACGAACCTGCGCGGACGTGGCGGCAGCCTCGACTTGACCGTGAGACACGACACGGCCAGGAGCACCGTGAACATGAGCGCCACGGTACGCATCATCCAGGGGAACCCAAGTCGGAGTATCAGCTTGTTCATCATGATGGGCAGGACGACGCCGCCGACGGAGGAGCCCGAGACCATGATGCCGTAGGCGGCGGCGCGCTTCTTGAGGAACCAGCCGACGATGGAGGACATGCAGGCGTTGAAGACGGCGCTGGAGCCGACGGACGAGAGGATGGACTGGGCGAGGAAGAAGTGGTAGTATTCCGTGGAGAGGGAGATCATTGCGAGGCCCAAGATGTACGTGATGGAGCCTCCGATGAGGATCCAGCGCGGCCCGTAGTTGTCGTATAAAAGGCCAAACTGACTGTCTATTAGCAACTCCATGCACAATCACTCCAATTGGGTTTCGGACTCCTGAAATGGGTTGGGAGACGCACAATCGACCCGCAAAAGATCATCAGAAAGACCAGCACCGACAGAATCCAGCTCACGGCAGACTCGTCATACTGCCTCAACGGCCCCGAGACGTAATACTGCTCAAACACGCCCACGCAGTTGATCAGCCCAAAGGTGCAAAACATGGCACACCACCCCCCCAGGACCGCGAGCCAGGCTTCCAGTCCGCCATCGGGGTAGGCGTCTGCGTGGGGAGGAGCAGGGGCGCCTTTGCTGTCGCCGGCTTCGATGTCGAGGTTTCGCAGCGAGATGTTTCTTGCTGTGGCTGCGGCTGTGGAGGCTTCGGTTTCGGCGCGGTATAAGATGAGGTCTTCTTGGGAGTCTGTGTAGTCGTTTCCTACGGCTGTGGTGGCCGAGTAGATCGAAGACGGCATGGTGTGCTGCGAGTGTAGTTGGAATGTTGGTGAAGCCCGATGGGGTTGATATGCTCTGCACTGCTCTCCCGCAGAGGCAAAAGGAGGACGAGGCCGTTGAACAGCATCAACGGCACATCATTCAAGTGTGAGCCAGGCACGAAGAGATTCCACTTTGGAAGTTTATGATACCCGGCACCAACAAAAGACCAAGCTCGGCACATTGCTTCCCCCCATCGACAACTCGACCAGAAGAACCACCAGCATCCCACTACCACGCAGTCGACTCAGAACCACCAAAGCACCCCCCAGACTCTCCCCCGTACATGGAATTAGCATCTGGCATCGCCCAATGTGTTGTCTCCTCTCACTCCTTTAACCCATCACCCGAACGTTTCACGTTACTACTCGTCTACCTCAACATCCGCGTTGGTCCAGTTGTATCGACGCTCAAAGGGAGAGTAATGGCGTCCAACAACACCGGAAAAAAGTTCGCAGAGAAAAAGGAAAGAGGAAAAGTGCCGTGCCCTGCAGCGACAATACGCAGACTACTCGCCTACAATAGCAGACGCTGCTCCATTGTTAGTCCTCATAGTGCCACGAGCTGGGGGTAAACGGCTTAAATGAGGGAGAGGAGAATGATGTGACATGACAAGTGGATGTGTGCGTGGAAAGAGATCAGGGCGTTTCGTTTCGTATGGGCACGGATAGGTGGTTATCAAGATCGAGATGGTGATGAATAAGAAGAGTTGATGCTTGGACGTTGCTACTCCTCAAAGCTCTCCTCCTTGGCCCTTGTTCATCCTCGATTAGAGAGTATGATATGGGTGAGCTTTCAGCCGCCACCATGGATTCGCTTCTGCTGTTTCAATACTTCCCCTGGCGTATGTGTAGAAGACCATTCGGCTTCACGCCAGGACCAAGGACCCGACATTCAAGCCCGTCAAATCAACTCTCTCAGAAAACGCACTGATCGCAACAAGGTCCACGATCCACAGTCCCAACCTCCGACAGACCATCAAAAAGCCTCGAAATGCCGCTTGTCGCAGTCAATTTCCTAGTGTAAGTCGTACGAGGATGGAGGATCCCCATAACTTTGTAGGTTCAGGTAATGTACAGCATGCATGCTTGATTTGCAAGCAATTTTTTTTCTCTATCCGCCATCCTTCCTTTTCAATCGTCCCCAGTTTTCCACATCATTGAATGAATTCTTTCAAGGTCTTCTTGTCTTCAAACGCTACTTTTCCATCCTTGTTTGTTGGTTGTTCCACGACAATCCCGGGGACCTCGTCAACAACCTCGTCAACTTTCGCCGCGGGCTGTGCATCTTGGGGCTTGTTGGACAGCTCCAGTGCGGATGCCAGTGTACCGGCTTGCGCGTCGGCAATTTCGTTAACCTGCTCGTTGGTGAGGCTGTCGACAACGCGCACGCCTCGGCTGGACATGATAATGGTGCTCGGCCCCTTGAAATGCAAAAACAGTCGGTCACCCCAGATGGTCCGGCGGGTCATTGTCCGGAGGCTGTAGAGAGTACGAGCAAGGTACTTGTAGACTTGCGAATCCCGGACCTTCTTCATGAAATCTGTTTCGGGGATCCAGGACGTGAGGGAGGGAATTTGAAGTCGTAGACTGGCGCTCTTGAACCGGAACGGCAAGGGCTGGTGTTTGGTCACAGAGTAGGCGACGACGCTGCCGGGGTGGGCGACAAATTCCTCGCCCTCGGAGAGATGCAGTTGGTAAATCTGCCCAGGCGCTGATAGAGCCACCAGCCCACGCCCAGTGACGAATGTGCTACCCCAATGCGCCATCGAGAGCCTTCTCTGGATGCGCGATGAAAGAGACAGTGTGTGGCCCGTCCAGGCCAGCACAGCATTGCGTTGGGTCACCATCCAGTCCGTCGTGCCGTCCAGGTGCAGGATCGTAAACGTCGTGGTGGGGGATTTGGTCGAGATGAGCGCCGTAATCGGCGAAGTGGCTGAGATGCGCTGGTAGAGGAAGGGGACGCCAAACGGCGCCCGCGAGAGGGGGTTTAGTAGCGAGAGAGTCGATTGTGCCTGCGAAGCCGCCATGCATTAATATCTTTCAGTTCCAGCGCCGCAGTCGCATCATCAGCGCTCTCTCACATTGTCTGGATTCCCCGCCACGGCGACCAGCGTCCCACGCCGTGTATAAAGCCGCTGCGAGGCGGATAGCGAGACGGAGAGCAGCGAATACGGCGAGCCAATGACTTCGAATCGGGCATCTGTCCATCCACAGCCTGTCAGCCCAAGCCTTCATCATGTCGAGGGTAAGATTCCCCTACCGGCCGTGTCCCTCAGGCTGTCGATTGCGCCAAAAGCGTCTCCCGCTCCGGTTGACGTGCTGGGCGTCGCGCTGATCTGGATGCTGCGGCACTGCCAGCAGACAAACTGCGCCGGCCTGTGGCTGCGCAACACGCGCGCCGTCCGAAGCAGCGGCGAAGGGCCCGTCATTGCGCCGGTTGTCGAGCTTCTCGCGAAGCTTCTGTGAGCTTGGAACCTTGGAAGTTTCCGTGCCAGACGCTAAAATCCCGGCAATTCTCGCACTCCATGACTTGCGTCAAGGCTCTTTGCGGCCTTTCCCGGCTGTCGCAGGCTGCACGTGCCCGTTGCCGGGCCAACTCAGTGCTTTTATTTGGACGCTCAAGGCACGCAGACACGCAGGTTCCCCCTCAAGCCCCTGCATGCTCTCCCCCGTGCTCCATATCGGTCCTCGTGCCAGCCCTTGCGGTTCCCCCAGCCCAGCCCAGCCTCCCGCCTTGAGACAGCAGCACGCCCAATATCGATTAATTAAATCCAATCTCACGCCCCGAGCAACGACCATCGACCGGATGCTCACTAAGCAGGCCTAGGAGCCCCGAATTCCCATCGCCAGTCGACGGCAGCTGCTGCCTCTCGCTCGTCTTCGCACTGATCCTCAATTGACCGCCAATGTCGGTTCGCGTTGTCGCCAGGCTGCGGCCTCTCCTGGCCCAGGAGCTGGAAAAGGACATCATCGTCCGCACCGACAGCGTCGAGCCCGACAAGCCGCCAACCATCGTCAAGATCCCGAATCCGCGCAACGAGGCCGAAGAGTTTTCATTCACCTTTAACGGCGTCTACGGCTCGGAGACGACGCAGGAGACACTCTTTACCGCTGAAGGTGAGAACCGGCTATTTTTCCTATGTCTTTTGCTTCTTACTTCTCCGCCATTCTCCGCGCCTAACGCGTCTTACGGGAACAGCTGTGTTAACCTGAGCAGTGGCGCCGCATATCAAGTCACTGTTTCAGGGCCTCGACGTTACCATCTTCGCCTATGGAGTCACGGGTACGGGAAAGACGCACACGATGCGGGGAGGCATGAAGCTGGCTGAACGAGGTGTGATCCCGCGACTGCTGAGCGGCATATTCCGCAGAGGAAAGAAGATCATGAAGGAGACGAACGGAGAAACAACGGTGGACGTGGCGCTGTCCTACTATGAGATCTACAACGACAAGGTGTACGACCTGATGGAACCTCCTGAGAAGCGGACGCCTACAGGGCTGCCTCTCCGAGCAGAGGCCAACGGCAAGACTGTTGTTGTGGGCTTGACTGAGCGGGCTTGCGAGGACCTCAAGGACTTTGAGAAGCTGTACATCGAGGCCAACAACAACCGCGTAACAGCGGCCACTAAACTCAACGCCCACAGCAGTCGAAGCCACGCCATCTTACGGGTGAAGCTGACGCAGACAACCGGCAACATGGTTCGCGAAAGCACGGCGTCCGCCATCGATCTGGCTGGTTCGGAGGACAACCGCCGGACAGACAACGGCAAGGAACGGATGGTCGAGTCGGCGGCCATCAACAAGAGCCTGTTCGTGCTCAGTCAGTGCATCGACGCCATTTCCACGGGCGCCAAGAGGATACCGTATCGAGAGTCCAAGATGACTCGAATTCTATCGCTCGGCCAAAACAACGGCATCACCGTCATGATTCTCAACCTGTCGCCGCTGCGCAACTATCACCTCGACACCCTCAGCAGTTTGAACGTCAGCTCTCGAGCCAAGCGCATTGAAGTTCGCGAGATTGAGAATGAGGTCGTGTTTAAGCAAGTTCCTAGGACGAATTCGGCGCAAGCTACTTCGCGGCAGCCATTGAAGCCTCTCGCCAACGCCGTGAATACTCATATTGCCGCCAGCGCAAACGCCGCGGCAAAGGCAACCGACGCGGCCAAGCCCGTCAAGGCGTTCAGCGTATACACTGACAAGGCCAAGGCCTCAGCCATTGCGCGCCCTTCCATAGGCGCCGGCCAGCCTCGCTCCTCTTCTCAGACCCGGCGGTCTTCACTGAAGCGATCATCCGACCATCACGAGTCTGCTTCTCGACCTAGTAAGCTCGCTCGGCCGATCCTTCACCAGCAGACTTCACAGCCGCAAGTAACACATCCTTCACCACCATCAGACGCCACGAAGACATATCGGACATCACTGCCGCAAGCAACACAACTTTCGCAACCTTCTCAGTCTCCACAGCAATCAGAGTCCACGAAATCTTCCCGGACCTCACTGATCTCCACAGCATCACAGCCCATTACCGTGACAGCGGCAGAAATCGAAGCCTTGGTGGAGAGAAAAGTCAGTGAGATACTAGCAGCAAGGGAAGCAGCGGAGGAATCGGTTCGGCGGACGCAATCGTCGCCCGAAGCTAGCGACGCAGTCCAGAGACGGCTAGAAGCCTTGGAGCGACGGATCGAAAACGAAGAATGGAGGGAGGACGCCAAATCGGAGGGTTTGCGGCATCTCTTGGCAGCGAGGCATCACAAGGAGCGAGGGGATTCCTTTGCCGCACTCAAAGCCTACGAGATGGCTCTGCCCTATTTCCCGAACCAGCCAAAGCTGCTGGGCAAGATTGAGCGCCTGAAAGCACGTCTGGAAGCATCGGGGGGCACATCTCCCGAGAGAAAGGAGAGAAAGAGGGAACGTAAGCCGAGACGCAAGACCGTCAGCGACGTGGACGCCGATGATGCCGAGGCAGATGGAGAGGAAGAGTGCGAGACGACTACGCCCAAGATCAAGGCGACGAAACTCAAAGCTAGGAGAGCCCCCAAGACTATTCTCGCCGAGGAGGAGGACGACGACGACAACACTCCGCGCACGCAGCGACTTCTCGACGTGGTCAACTCACGAGACGCGACCCAGATCCGGGAGCTCGTGGGATTCGGCGTGAAGAAGGCGCAAGACCTGGTAAACTACCTGGAGCATGCGAATAGCGAGGGCGGCGGGGAGATTGAGAAGCTCTCCCAGCTGCGGACGATTCCGGGCATGGGTGGGCGAACCGTAGACCGTGCATACGAGGGACTGGCGGCGAGGGCATAGAGTCATTGACGGCGTTTTTTTGTTCTTTCTTATAAAGTGTGTGCATGTATCATCATGCACTTGGATACCAGAAAAGAGGCGACTGCCTGAGGGAGCGGCCGCACGAGCATTGTATGGCGTTGGGAGTTCTTTTTCACAACTGGACAAAGGACCAGCGCGTCTGCGTTTGCGTGTACTATGTTGCTCCTTGGCCTGAAGACGCAGTCACAGCGAGCGAGACAGTCGATGAATCTGATTTGTCCCCTTGCATGAGTTGTCATGCAGCCTCTGCTCCCAACCGTTGTCTTGCCCTTCCGTGTGTTTCTCGCCTTGTCTGCCTTGTCTTGTCTTTCCTGTTTGTCTAGGACTGTGACGCCTTTCCCTACCTGCGTGTGACTTATGAATGGCGTTGCTTTTTGTTCCTTCTTACCGACTGTCTACTATTTCCGTCTGAGAAGTCACCTTTTGTCGGGTTAGGTTTTAGAGATGCGTTTTATTGTTGTCTTGTCTTTTTCTGATGTACCTTAGATATGGATACCTTATTCTGGAGGATCGAGCGGCCGTTTGGTTTTTTTTTCCTTGGTTATACTTTTGCTCATTTCATACTTGGTTGGGAGGCTTTATTCAAGAGAAGATCATTCTGTAGAGTAGTAGGAATAGTACAGAGATATTAGACAGTGCCGAGTTCAACTTACCAGCTCAGATTGATGCTCGGTGTCTGTGAGTAAACTCCCAGGCCTGAACGAATTGAAGCGATACCACACCGAAACGTACCAAATCATTTATCAAGTCAAAACTCTGATTCTGAATGCTAAAGAGGGGTTTCGCAAACATTCGCTTCCCGGATATACATTCGATTCTCATGTATCAAAGTTACAGACAACACACCGCCGCCCAGGTGTACCTAGGTATTGAGGTGCTCGGATAACCTCGGGAAGTTTTCCACAAAGAGAAACACGGCATCCGGTCTGCATGAGGTAGGCTTCTTAGCCTTTGAACAGCGCAAAAATTACCCTCAAGAAGAAGCTTCTGTAGTATAACGGTCAGTACAACAGTTTGTGGATCCATCCGGTTCACTGTAGATCCAGGTTCGATTCCTGGCAGGGGCACCATTTCTTTTTTTACCTTTTTGCCGTCTATTCTTTTTTTTTTCTGTTCTATCTTTTTCTTTCTGTTTTTCTGTTTCTGTTTCTTTGTTTCTTTATTTGCCTGCCCTTTCTCCTATCCGAATTTGCAAGTAGCAATACCCTTTTGGTGCCCTGAGTAAAGAAAGATGTCAGGATATGTACCTTTCTAGGCTAAGCGCCCTATGCCCCATAGGAGATATTATAGCAAAGCCATTCTCTAGATAAACAACAACAATCCGTCCTCTGTGAACACCCAGAAGCATAAAGACGACAACTAGGTGCCATCCCATACGAGACGAGGCTAGAGTACAATGGTCTTATCAATATGCCTACCTTACGTATATGAGAGCTGAGATTCTGTTACATCATCCTGCGAAAATAACAGCAGCAGTAAAATAACCGATCTCGTATCGAGCCACACAGCGTCGAAACCTTCCGCATAGGAACAGGTCAACCTTCTACATGCTCCCTATGGAAGCCCCCCCCCCAGCAGCCTATCTACATTTCTCATACGTACTTTTCCCGCCAAGGTTCGGCTCCCCTCCACGCAGCACAAAGCCCGCAAGTCCAATCATCCCCTCCCAACCTCTTCCCTCCAAAACACGAGCGTTTCCCCCAAAGTCTCAAAACACCGACAATCGATTTGCATGCATGTAATACGAGTACATGCGCACCCTTAAGGCGGCTTAATCATCCTTCCAACGGAACAAAAAAACCCCCCCAGCCCTTTTTTCCATCTTCTTCCATCTCTTCTTACCTGCCTATGTAACCTTATTACACAACTGACAGAGTAACTACTACTAGTAGTAGCCAGTGTAAGTGAGTGGCGTGCAGTGTAAGTTGTTGTGGGTATTGCATGTAGGATGTATCTGTGCCCGTGGCGTTCAAAACAAGGGCAAATTCTCGTTTTCAGAGGCGTTTTCTGCCAAGTACTACCACCACATCCCATTGGATCCCCCTGCTGTGCTGCCCATACGCCCAGTCCAGTGTCTGTGTGAGATGGCTTGAATGGCGCCGCTGGGGCGCGGTTGGGCGGCTACAAGGCTCATGGGGATGTCATTGCACGAGGTGGCAGCGGCACATACGTAACGCGCATGACGCGGCGAATTCGGTATCCGACTCTAAGGTAGTCGGTGGAAATCAAGCAAGAACGAATAGAGAAGCATTACTTACTTCTGCGAGTAATGGTCGTGAGAGAGGGGAGGGAATATCCCGCAATAGATCTGACCTATACGGGAATTCTGGGCACGGAACATCCGGATTAAAAATAACAACATTCGCACAGAAAATGGGTCATCATGTGAACATGCGCACCATTTGCATGCCCGGAAGAGCCGTTGCGTGTTTCAAAGAGAGGGGAGAAACACAGGTTTCACCGAGGGCAAAAATAGTCTGACACAGGCAAGCGGGCAGGCTTGCTCGGGTTCTTGAATAGACAAAATTCATCTCATGATTCTGGCATCTATGTACAAGACTGTATTGAGGAAATATGTTCAACCCAAAAAGTCATAGCAGGCATGACATGTGCTGCGCCCAGCTCCGTAAACTAAAAACGAGTAGATAAAATGTGTAAAGGGAAAATAGAAGATGCTGTAACGTAGCAATGAAGAGGCGCCCAGGGAATCTTTCCAGACAGGCAGCAAGGCCCGTGGTCAGACCCAAGAAACGTCAGGGCGAAGCAGGAAAAAAAGCTTCGGGAAGAGAACGAGCGTGAGACAAGAGTATGCTCCTTTGAAGAGATACAGATGCTAGTCGTGACAACGACGCGCGGTGTAGTTCCGTACATGTAAATCGGGTTGCCGTGGTAGGTCGTAACCAAAAGGTCCCCGATGTGGTATCATCCGCTTCTCGTCGTTTTGTAACCCAAACAGTACACCATCCAAAATGAACAAAATTGGCTTTTCTTTTCCGGTTTCTTATGCTTGTATGGTTGCTTGGAGGCACTTTACCGGATCATGCTGGTTCGGCGTTGGACTGTCCTCTGCTGGTCTACTCGAGATCCTCCAAAGCCGGGCATTGAGCTGAAGCGGTTCAGCTTCTTGCGCTCAGGCAGAGCTTCCATAGTCGGAGTCTGAGGCTCGGGTGTCGTGGAGTACGAGGGAGTCCGAGGGATAGGCGAAGCACGGTCGCCATGCAGTGCGTCGTTGCGAGATGCGCTGGACTCTGTCGAGGAGCCAGTGCTGTTGGGAGTCTGGTAGACGTATTCGCCGTCGACATAGACGGCGTTGGACACGAAGGTGGATCGACGGTTACGGCGACGGGTGTAGCGTTGCTCAAGGCGGAAGAGCTCCAGCTTGGCCTGGATACGCTCAAAGAGGCTCTGGCCCATGTTTGCGTTACGAGGTATGTACCCGACAAGAGAGATGAATGTTTGTTGGCGGTAATTTGCTGGCAGCAGCCGAGGCCTATATCGTTCTTATTGCGTTGTCTCTTGTTGCTCGTTTCGTTTGGCGTAAAGGTAAGGCGGCGTTAGAGTTCGTCAGATGGAAGCTCTCCTCAAATGGTATTCCCAATTGTTTCCGGATTCAAGATTTGGTGCGTTAGAATCAGGTGATGTTGGTGGGAGGAGGAATGTCAAAGCAGAAGCGGTTTTGAGGAAAGACGGGAAAGAAAAGAGGGAAATGGTACGTCTGGCAGGGAACTCGATTGGGAATTCCCTGTGTATTAGTACCGTTGGAAACAACGTGGTAGGTGGAAGCGAAGTAGAAAGAGCGACAAGAGGTTGGGGAGCTGCAGCTACAGGGGGGGTTTGCTGGATGAGGAATGGAGAGGAAAAACACACGAGATGGGAGGAAAAGAAGTTCAAGTTGAACTGCAGAGAAGAGGAGGAGAGAGGAAGGTCTTGTGCAAAGATCCTGGAACAGACGGGCCGGGGGGAGGGCCCAGTTGATATGGATCAGCAGGTACGAGGTATGAGGTACGAGGTCTATAAGCGGAGATGACTTCTCGTGGTGGACGATGCCCGTACCGCAGGAGCGCTTTATCGAGGGGCCCTGGGGCTTGAGCGAAGTGCCACTACTCTGGGCCTGTTCCTGACCTGTGCGAGCACGCGTACTTGGTACCCGGCAGGCCCAGAGACGCATGGCAACGCTGCAACGGAACGCCACCAAGAGGTCGGGGGGCAGGGGCCTATCAGCAGCAGGCCGTACCAGGTACGGAGGAAGACCGTTGGGACAATGGGCAGCGCGAGCGGTTGGCACACAAGCGGCAGGTAGCGATACCCAGCGCCAGCAGCGCTAAGGCACATCGTCTCCAGCGGCCTGAATGAGCCGCAGGGGATCCCACGTCGCCATGGAAAAGCGTCCATTTACTGGAGCTTTGGGCGTGGCAAGCAGCTGTGTCTTGGGGGAACATGGCCGAGAGGATGCACCCTTATGCAGGACTAAAGCGGATGAACGCCGTGCGATGTGGGCGCTTGAGCGAATAGTGCCAGCCCTTGGGTTCGGACTGGAGCGTCAGGAGAAGGAGGAGGCGAATGTCGAGAAAAGGCGTCCAGAGATGCCGGCTGCTGTGGATGGGTGATACGGCTGCCTTTCGAGTCAATGGCCAGTATCTCGACAATAGCAAGGTACATCGTGTAAGTAATATTGGTGCCTCCAGTAGCTAGGTCGGTAAGATGAAGCTGAAAATACCCAGTACCTGGTGCTCCGTCCAACACGGTGCCCTGAAACTCCGATAAGGCACTCTCTCTGTGTGTCTTGGGCTCTCTTTCGCCTCTCAAGCCTCTGTCTCTTCTCTGCCCCTGGTGAAACGCCTTTCTCCATATTGCGGGCTGTCTAGCGCAGGGGCTCCATCATGGCCCGAGTGCCGCGGCCACATCGCGCCGGTGTGGGTGGTTGGAGTCTCTGTCCTTTGGAGGTGGATGCGCCAATAATGGACGGCTCCGATGCCTCAGTCCTGGCCAGGATCAGGCAAGTGTCTCGAGACCAGCAGTGTTATTAAGCGATATTGGCAGACAAGCCATCGAAATTGCCCACACCAGTGCCTGACAAATGAGTTGTTAGTTGTCTTCCGCTGTCATCGATCGATAGTTGCACGTTGACTGTCCTCTATATCGACGCTGTCGCTTCGCCGACAATCGTCTGCTCAGCACCATCACTGGCCCAAGTATCCGAAGTATCCACACGTACCGAGAAACAGCATCTGAAATTTACCCAGTCAAGCCCTCGGGGTCACTGCACGAGTATGTAGGTCATCGACAGCGCAGCAGCGGCAAGCCGCCGTACTCGTATTTCCACAACCCTGCCTCGTCCAGATGTTACTTTCGCTCTCTCGTACAAGCGCAGGTACTCGTACTCGATAGCTGCTCGTGCTACTTGCTGTAGCGCCTCGAAGCTGCATGGCGGGCGCTTCTTACTTCGTAGTGCTGTAATACTAGCGCAAATTCATCAAGGCCCTGAATCCTTCTCTTCAAACTCTCAAAGTCCTCTCCTCAGTAGTCGCAATCGAGAAGATGAACGGCCGCGGGTACGCTCTTTTCCCGGGGGAGGCCTCGATATGCGACCTTCAGCTCAATCTCCCCTTTTTGGGTCGGGGCAAGTCAGGTCTCGCTGGTGACATGCATGGGTTCTTAGCACCTGCTCCCACGTGGATTCCTTCCAGAAGCGAGGCGCGATCTTGACGGTTTTGGGGACTGCCCCCTGTCCTCGTAGCGGCTTCATGCCTCAGATGAATGCTTGGTAGCGCGAAGTACTGATGCTATCAACATCACGGCGAAGACTCAATGGCATTGTTGCCGTGCGGAGCAACTTCTTGCGCCTAATAGTGGAGGGCACAACTGAATTGCAGGCATCTTGTGCTGCTGCGAAATGGTCCCCCTCCAGCATTGGTCAATTCGATGTCATCTAGCGAGCTGTCGCCGCCTTGTCGGAAGCTCCCGAGCACAGATGCCCAACGATCCTCATCTTCCAAGCACTTGCGCGCCACTTTTCCCGTGGCACAGGCACACTCTAAATGGCGCGCGGGTGTGGAGTCACAGCAATAGTTCGAAGCTTTAATCTTCATGTTAACTCAGAGCTTGTCCAGACAATGCTCGTCCCCTCTTGCGTGTATGGAAGGTCAATACTAATACCTGAGATGGCTGTAATATCCGTGTAGCTAGAGAAACGGAGCTGGTTTGCGGCACGACACCAGGTCGAGCTGTGCATCGCCCGTTGAGTTGAGATGTGCAATGGTCAAGATCCAGCGTGGATGATAAGATGAGAGACATCAACCCGAAGTCGCGTGAAAAGTAGGGGCTATCAGATTCTCCCCAACAGTCGATTCCGGCTCAGTCTCTGCCTGTATCTGCTGTTGTTTGTACGGCTCCAGCACCTCGACCCTCCCGGGTACGAGTCGGATTCGACGGCAGCATCGTGTATGACGGCAACTCGTCCTTGTGCTCCGCCTCTGCTTCGTGAGCGGTGATGCTCCTTCAGAATGTCTCGGCAGATGGAAGACCGCATGTGCATCTTGCCGTTATCCGTTATCACTTATCACTTATCAGGGATCTCTGAGCTGGTATCCGTGTTTCAGATGCACAGCGAAGAAGGAGCGGATCAGGCTCGCGAGGTCTTCTGAAGAGGCGCTGGCAAATGCTCCTGGGCAGGTGCCTTATGTGACGTGATCGTCCCATCACTTCGCCGCGGGAAAGTGCAGCTGTTACAGTGTGCCTACCCTACGAACTCGGCATCTTTCCACCCGAACTTCCATCGCTTAGATAACAGAAATCTCTACTTCATACAAGAGCATCCTGCAATGCTACCGGCATGTCGTTACCCGTGAGGAAGGACGAGAGCACAGCTCCCGAGCCGCCTCGACTCATCAAAAGTTTGTCGCTCATGCTTATATTCGAGATGACGAGATCGCTTATCGGGAGAGGTTGAAAAGGAACTCGGGGACGCTGGTCGAGTGTCTTGTGCCCTCTTCATATCGCTCTCTTATGACCTGTCTGACTTGTGAGCTCACTCGACACTCTTGAGACCGGACTAGACATCACCGGCTCGTCTGCAATAAGAGGTTGTACCCTATTCCTACTATACAACTTTCTTTTGAACCCCTGAGACAACGATTCTGCTCCAACTCTTCCATCTCAGGGGCTCCGGTTCAGCCGAGTGCCACGATTCAAGATGCGGGCTTCCATTCTCTGGGGCTTCGCCCTTCTCCTCACAGACGTCCTTTCGCTGAAATCCGGACAGATAAGAGTGACAGATACACCTGCGAAGAATGTCAATGCTGCAACAAACAGGTACATCGTCGAGGTTGAGAGAGTATGTAATCGTGATGCTTGTTCGCCAGTTGCAGCCATTGACTAAACTCGTCATACAGAGCAGCATTGGCTATATGACTCGCCAGTTTGCTTCGCCGGCTTCGGCCAACAGCACATACTTCAGACAATTCGACTGCGGTGACATTTTCAATGGAGTGGTCATCGAGACTGACATTGACAACGTCGACACGCTCAGCAAAGTCCACGGCGTGGCCAATGTCTGGCCCATGAAGACTGTCCCGATGGCGTCTACTATCCGACGGGTGAAGGCTGCTTTGGACGTCAAGAACCAGAATTACTCTGTTCATCAATGGACCGGTGTCGACCAGCTCCATGCGGCAGGCGTTCGAGGCAAAGGTGCAACCATTGCCATTATCGATACAGGTGTTGACTATACACACGAAGCTGTTAGTGACCCTTCTTCATGACATACCAGCCCCTTGATGCTGATTTTTCTCTGTAGCTTGGTGGATGCTTTGGCCCGGGCTGCAAGATTGCTGGAGGTTATGATCTTGTTGGGACTGTTTGTAAGTGTAGCCTCCAACCAGGGGTAGAAGTTGTGGCATGACAGCTGACGTGAGGTCAAAGGGAATTCTCACAATGAGAAGCGATTTCCAAAGGACCCGGATCAGGATCCGATGGACTTTCATGGCCACGGAACCCACGTGGCTGGGATCATTGCTGCGGAAAATGAATGGTAATGTGCCGGAGTTGCATTTATTGCCATTTCAGCACTAATCCGCCATAGGTTGATTGGAGTTGCTCCTGACGCTCGACTTCTTTCGTTCAAAGTGTTTGCAGATGTAAAGCTGTCTCGATATTACTCAAGAAATTATAGCTTGCTGACACAATGCCCAGGACCCCTGGGACACCGACGAGGACGTGCTCATTCAGGCATTTTGCGATGCATATGGCGCCGGGGTAAGCATTCTTGTACTTGGCCAGACGTTTCGCATCCTAACATGCTCAATAGGCCGATGTCATCACCGCCAGCATTGGTAGACCTGACGGGTTTGTTGACGATCCTTGGGCTTTGGTTGCAAGCAGAATTGCCGACAGGGGCGTTGTTGTTACCATCTCCGCCGGGAACGAAGGCAATACTGGGCCCTTCTACTCAAGCAGCGGCGCCAACGGCCACAACGTCTTGTCTATAGCTGCCATCAATGTCACAGGAGATCCGAGCATCAGCACGTCTGATCCCACCGCGGCACCACTTCCCGCTATATTCACGTCGTGGGGCCCTACCAACGAGTTGCTCCTCAAACCTGATATTGGAGCCCCAGGCTTCGATATCATCAGCACCGTGCTGGGCAATGATTACGATTCGATGAGTGGGACGTCCATGGCCGCACCGTATATTGCAGGCATTGCTGCGCTTTACATCTCCAAGCACGGCGGTCGGGAACTTCACGGCCCCGGGTTCGCCAAGATGCTTGCCAACCGCATCGTCTCCAGCGGAGTTAGCCTTAGATGGGCTGCCGACAATATCGACTTTAATTTCAGGGCCCCTCCATTTCAGATTGGGACTGGCTTGGTGAATGCTCTCAAAGTTCTAGACTATACCACTCAGCTGTCTTTTGAGCCTTTTTCTTTGTCAGATTCCATCCAGTTCCGACCAAGATGGACTGCCAACATCACAAATACAGGGAATCGAACCGCGGTATACTCTTTCGAGATTGAGCCCCAAGCTGGAGTGGAAATCCTCGATCCTCACTACGGCATCAAAACCGCCTACAACCTGGAGCCATTGCACATCGTACCACCAGTGAAGTTGCCTGAGGATGTTGCACTGGCACCAGGAGAGACGCGAGAGGTCGAGTAATATTACCCTTTAGCTCAGTGGGCACGCTCTATTTGGCTAATCAAACTATAGGTTTTTCTTTGGACTTCCTGAAAACGTCAATGACGATTACCTTCCTTTGTATGGTGGTAAAGTCTGGATAAGAGGGAGCAACGGCGAAGACCTCTCCATTCCCTACGGAGGTATGTTCAGATGCGAGTATCGACTTGCTGTGGATATCAAAGCGGAACTAACGCATCTCACGCGGAATAGGGGCCGCATACGATACCGAGAAGGCTTTTGATAGCATGTTCTTGGGAGAGCCCTTCATCACAGATTGGGGCGCTAACTGGACGTGAGTGGCTTTTTGGGTCGGTATTTTGAACAGATCTGACCATTAAGCAGTTGGTCATTCAACGCAGACAAGAACCGGTTTGACTTTATGGAGTTGTCTGCGCGCCTCGATTACCCATGCTTCCACCTCCGTTGGGATGTCAGTATCCCATCTTCTCTGTTCTTATCGTGACGAATAGTCTATACTGATTAATGTCTTCAGATATACACTGCATACTGGACTGAGCCCCATTGGGAGTATCCTCCCGTTGTTGGGGTATCAGGCTACGTTGGTGCGGCGGCTACGATGCGAGATGCCGATACCTTTTGGTACTACGACCCAAGCCGCATGGACAAGGAGCAAACGGCTGCATTTCCGATGCTGAGAGTTCCCCGTGGCTATGCGAAGCATTGGTGGTTCGGCAAGCTGGCAAACGGAAGCCACATTGCGCCAGGCAATTATACGTGAGACAAAATCCAAGCGTGTGTTCACTGGGAGTTTTGACAGACTAACTCTGCTGATATAGCCTGCGATTCGCCGCTTTGCGCCCCTACGGCAATCCGAACATCTCGGATCACTGGGACATTATGCACATGCCTGTCCGAAACATCCAAGTCTTGCCATATAACGGCACAAATGCCACCATACATAGAGGATGATACGGCAGTGAGAGGACTGTTTCTCACTGACCGAGTGCTACAGAGACAGTTTTTGGTCATCTTTGGAAGATTTTGAGGGCTTAAGCCTATTTATGCGGAGGTAATGGATTGTAGGTGACGTTGGACCCATCTGAGTGTACAAGCTTGACAAGATAACGATGGTTAATAACTATATCTTCCGATATCTTCCTCTTGTATTATATGCTCTAAAGCCAAGCTAACCGTCTGTCTTTTGCTTCTTTGACTTTGATTTTACGCCATTCGTCTCTGCAACACGCTTGTGCCCAGCAGATTCTCCATTTTGTTTCCCTGCGTGATGCCCGTCTTCATTGTTGTCCGCATTCTCGCCAAAGTCGCTCTCGTACTCTCCCATGACCTCGGCCTCGTCAGGAGACGGAAACAGGGCCCGCCAGCTGCCATCGAGAACCTTTTCATCGTTGCCATGGAGCCCCACGGAATATGCATTCTTCATGGCGGCGATGCATATGCCTCGGCGCTCCGAAAAGTCAAACATGGGCTTCGGGTAAGTGCCCTCCTCGGGCTGCTCCTCGAGCCCGTCGCCGGTAATCCTGACGCCGGCGGCCTTCTGGTCGGGCAGCGGCATCTTCCAGGGCTCGTAGATGTACTTTGCCTTGACGTTGCGCAGCTCGGGGACCCAGCGGCGGATGAGGGCACCGTCGCGGTCCCACTTCTGGCCGAAGGAGACGGGGCTGTAGACGCGGAAGTACTGGGTGAAGAAGGCGGCGCAGGCGAGCCACTGCCAGTTGCCGATGTTGCAGGCGGGCTCGTGGTCGAGGAGGAGCTCCTCGAAGACCTCGGCGCCGCGCTCCCAGTCGACGTAGCAGCCGCCGCGGGTGAGGAAGCAGGCGACGCTGTGGCGGCCGAGGTGGTGGATCCAGCCGTCGTGGCGGAGCTGGCGCATGAGGGCGTCGATCCAGGGGAAGCCCGTGGTGCCGGCCTTCCAGCGGCGGAACCAGGTCTCGGCCTGGTCGCTGTCGGTGTGGTGGTCGCCCGTGGTGAGGCCCGTGTGCGGGTCGCGCTTGGAGGGGAGGTGCCAGGGGATGAAGCGGCAGTGCGGGTTCGTGGCCGTTTGGGCGAAGGAGGCGCCGAGGGCGGCCTGGGCGGCGAAGTACATGTCGCGGAAGAGGACCTGGCCGAGGAGGCTCTCGGGGGGCGAGGAGGCGCCCGGGCCGAAGGCGTCGACGACGTCGCGGACGCGCCAGTACAAGAGGCGGACGGAGAGGGCGCCGAAGTGGAAGAAGGGGGACAGCTGCGTGGTGGCCGGCGGGTCGAACTGCGCGGGGCTGGTCTTTGGCTTCTTGAAGGTCGCGACGTACGTCTTGTCCTTGATGAGCTCGTCGAGGCGCTTGAGAGCGAGCGTCTCGCCGCCGCGGATGGGCGTCGTGGCGGGCGCGAAGCCGAGCTCCTCGAGCGTCTCGATGGCGAAGTCGCCGTTGGGGCCGGCGATGTGGCTGTACGCCGTGTCCTCCCTCGTCTTGTGGCCCTCGTTGATGTCGGGCTTCGTCTCTGGACGCTGCTGCTCAAAGTCCACGGGCATGTCTCCCGGATCGGGCAGGCTCTCGGGCGCCGGGATAGGCTTCGCGACGGGGCCAATCTTGCTCCCCGCGGCCTGCAGCGCGGCGATGGTCATGGTGGGCTTTCCGCCGTGGTGCGCGACGACGTCGTCGCTGTCCCAGAGCGTGCGGCCCGAGCGGGTGATGACCTCGACGCCTGCTGCCTTGGCCGCTTTGACGACGGCCTCGTCTCGGCTGCGGGCGTAGGTGTCCGTGTCCTTTTCGAACACCAGGTGAGTCGGCTTCCAGGCCTTGAAGAGCTTGGGGAAGAGCGTTTGCGGTCCTTCGCGGAGGACGAACAGCTTGGACTTTTTGTTCAGCTTGGTGATGGACTGCGAGAGGTCATTCTGGCAATCTAGCCTATTACACGACGATGTCAGTTTCACTGGCCTCGTTTTTTTATTCAGGAGAGACGTACAGAAACTGGAACCGGTTGACTCCCACTCTGGCCTTGTACACATAATGAGGATCCCATGTCCAGATGGGCCAAAGAACCTCTGGCTCGAGGTCCAGCGCCGCTTGAAGGGCGGGCGAGTCGTGCAGACGGAGGTCTGTCCTGAACCAGTAGATTACACGCGGCTTGGTCATTGTGCTGGATTTTCTTGTATAATCTTCAGCATGATCCGGTAATTATTGTGAGATTTCCATCTCATGTCTATATATATATGAGAATCCCTGAAGAGGAGTGAGTTTGTTGAGGCGTCGTCCATGATGTCATTCTTGTGTCCTGAGGGCGATGCTGTTGAGGGGGCTGAAATGTCTCGATCGGGCGAATGAGGCTGTCTTGATGTAAGGGAGACTCGATGTAAGTCATACTTGCACAGAGTGGAGAAGAACAACATGTGAAGTTTCCAGACACGGAACATGAAGCCATCGACAGTCGTCAAAATGCGATTTCCAGGGATAAGCAGGTGTAGTTAGTCTCTCAAAGGAGACAGCTCAGCTCAACTAGCAACAAGACCACTAGTAAGCTGCGAGTTGCTGACAAGCTCATAGCCAACCTAATCGCTAGTTGTCTATTAAAGTTGAAGCTTGTAAGATTCGTTTTCCCTCCGTCGTCGATTCATGGTCTTACAAGCCAATCATCGGCCGTGCTTGTAAATGCCGTTCTGAGACGTCTGCGTAATCGCAGCCTAGGAGACGGAAAGGACTGATGCGGTGAAAAGAAAACACCGCCGGTCTGCCGCTTTATGTTGTATGTGAGAGGCGGCGCTGTTCTCTTTTCGCCCCTTGGGGCTCTTTGGAACCTTTGGGTTGCTGGTGAGATGCAGGTATATTGGCAAGGCACGGACTTAGCATGATTGCTGCTGCGTCTTGCCCCGAATTCCGTAATATTGAATCAAACTATTGATTCCATTGCTGCGTTCATCAAGTCAGCGCTAGTCACGATAACATGTATATAAGTCATACCTTGAGAATGACTCAATAGCCATGGACAAGCAATAGCTCTGGCATCTCACTGACGTTCACATTCAAAGCCCCTTGAAAGTCGACCCAGAACTCCGTATCAACATGCAGATAGTCTCCGTCGACGACTTCGCCCGCCAGTCTTTCGACTTCCTCGTCATCGGAGGCGGAACCGCTGGCCTGGCCGTTGCATCTCGTCTAGCCCAAGGCGGGCAATTCACCGTTGGAGTCCTCGAAGCTGGAGGACCGGTAAATGGCCGCGAAGACGTCGATATCCCCGGTTATTACGGTAAGTCGTTGGGCAGTGACATCGACTGGAAGTTCAAATCAGCGCCGCAGGCTGCCCTGGGAGGGAAGACGATCGGGTGGTCGCGAGGGAAAGCCCTTGGAGGATCCAGCGCCATCAACTTCCTGACCTGGTGTAGAGGCAGTAGAGAGGATTACGATGCCTGGGAGACGCTGGGTAACCCTGGATGGGGTTGGAATGACTTGCTGTAAGTGCTTCTCGAGGTTTTGGTGCGGTGATGGCGGACATTGATACTGGTCTCATTCTTTGAATCCGCTGTATTGTAGACCCTATTTCAAAAAGTCAGAGACGTTTCACGCACCTGACCCTGCCGTACAAGCTGAAGAGGACCTTCGATATGATCCCGACTCCTTTGGCAGCTCGGGACCCATCCACATCTCGTATCCTCCCCAAATCTCGCCAACAAATCGCCTCTGGTTCGACACGCTCAACTCATTAGGCGTAAAGACAAACTCGGCTCATGTTGCTGGATCGATTGCCGGGGTGTGGACAAACATGCAAAATATCGACCCGCGGACAATGACCCGATCCTTTGCCACCAACTACTGCGCCCTTGCTGGGTCCAACCTTCACATATTGACCGAGGCCACAGTTCAAGAGATTGTTCTCGACAAGACCAGTGATGGATATGTGGCTTCTGGAGTTCGATTCACACACAAGGACCAAGAGTACGTCGTCTCAGCATCAAAGGAAGTCATCCTGTCTGCTGGAACCGTCAAGTCCCCACAGATCCTAGAGCTTTCGGGTATTGGCAATCCTGAGGTTCTGTCTCGCGCCGGCATTGCTGTCAAAGTCGACAGCCCCATGGTCGGAGAGAACGTGCAGGAGCACAAGGGTATGTACCTGTTTTGGCTATACGAATCGGCAATTGATGAGTACTGTCCTGTTGACCTGAAGGACTAGCAATCCACGCCATCGTGGAAGTCGATCCAGGTCTTGAGAATAACGATGATCTCTTCTTGGACGAAGATTACGCAGCTGCAGCTCGTGAACAGTTTGCCCGGCACAGAACCGGCCGCCTTGCCGGCGTCTTTGCCTCTTACGCCTTTGTGCCTCTTGCCAGATACGTCCCAGAAGAGACTATGGGCAAGTTGCATTCCGGAGCCCAGGCGTTGCCCGGACTCCCTGCAGAAAAGAAAGCCATCCTGGAAGAGCGCCTCGAGAAGCGTGGCCAGGTAGAGTACATCTTCAAGCTCGGCGCTGCGCCCATCGCAGAGAGTGGAAAGAAGTTCGCCACGCTGTACCAGATTCTGCAGTATCCGTTCTCTGTCGGGTCGATCCACGTTCAACCAGCGCCCTCTCAGAGGGAGGATCCAGTCATCGAACCTGGATATTATCAGGGTCCCGCCGGAGAGCTTGACCGGGAGATCATGCTAGAATCAACCCGCTTTGGTCGTGACATCCTCCTTGCGCCTTTTCTTAGCGACGTTGTGAAGCAGCTGGTTCACCCCCCTGCCAGCTCTTATACAGACGATGACGCTATGAGGAAATGGATCATGGACAACACCGTAATGGCAATGCATGCGGTTGGCACATGCGCCTTGGGCGGCCGAGCAGGAATCCGAGGGGGGGTCGTGGATGAAAGGCTCAAGGTTTACGGCGTCGAGGGCCTGCGAGTTGTGGATGCGAGCATCATGCCGCTGCAAATAGGTGCGCATATACAGGCGACTGTGTATGCCATTGCGGAAAAGGCGGCAGATATGATTCTTGAAGATACAGCCAGGCAGTAATTCATCAAGTCTGCTGACCTTATCAGTGCATAAGACGGGGGCGATGATGCTCGGTTCAACTCTGTGAAGTGATGACGTTCTCGTCCTCGGTGTCATGAAAGCCAGTTCTAGCTCGTGCAACCGCCAACTCGCCTGATGGCGTTCTAAAGACGGATGTGGACGAAGGAATATTTCGAAGAGAGATAGCGTGAGATGAGTGAGATGTCCGAGAATTGGGGTCTTCAGATAGCTCAGGGGAACTGCGACTCCCATTGGGTTCCGATGGTGTCTTCGAATGTTGTTTTATCCAGGGCAACAGGTTGAAATACCCACCACAAGCGAACACGCCTATCCAAAGGGCAAGCTCAGTCCCGTATATGACCATGCCGAGAATGTCCAGTTCCGGCTGGAAGAAGACCGAGATGAGTGAGAAGAGATCGCCGCCGGCGTCGATACCCACAAAGATGAATGAGATTCCGCGCACTGATCGATGAACATAGATATCCCAGTAGTGTCTGAGCACGCCCGCAGCGAGGAGAGCAGCAGAGAGAACCGCCATCAGGGTGTCCGGCCATGTGAGATGCGAGGAATGAGCTGCTCGGAGGGCAAAGATGAGGGCAGCTTGTGTAGCGCCCATCAGAAGAGCGATAGGAGTGGCTACCAGCAGACAACGAGAAACGGGCCACTTCTGTTGTTTGAGCATAATGTTAGCGATTAGTATATGACTTGATAGCAAGAGCATAGTGGCCATGTCCTTACCTTATCATAATATCGGCACTGGGCCCAGGTGACCAGACTCAGAAATGTCAGTATCTGAGGCTGGATGCGCAGGGCGACGTTGAAGTTCTTGGTGATGTTGTACACACCAAGCGGGACACCTGCACATGCCCAGAGCATCATCATCGAGGGCTGAAGGCCTGTGGTGTCGTGACGACGGTAGTTGATGATGATCTGGGGGATAAGCTGTCTCTATTTTAGTGATGCTGTCCACGCCCTGGGTTGATATCAGATGGCCATACCTGTACAGACCAGCACACCTATGGACTATACCGTTAGCATAGCTCTGAGATACGGGTCATCCTCATTATGGACGTTTCAGTCGATGAGGGTCTGAGAGGAAAGCTTACAGCGCCGGCGACCCCGAGCACATTTGCAGCCACGGGATTGTCCATGTCCAGTCCAGGATAATGAGCAACCAGTATATCTCTATTTCACCGTGGTGGCATGACGAAGTCGAGATATGGCCTCTTAGTTAAGGAAACCACCGCAGAGCTGAGCAATTGATCATATAGACCAGAGAAAACTATGCCAATGCTTGAAAGAAGACGGTAACACCAACAGCAGAAGAAATGGTACTGATCAGCTCATGCATGTTTGAGAGCAACAGCAACTTGAAGTCGGTCGCCCGGACCTGTCTTGACCGAGGCCAACGGCGATTACCTAATCCCGCACTTCGCGTCACCACGATTTGTACCTACTCGGACTTTTTAATTGATTGCGGCACCAGACGCGTCTCCCCTCCAAGACACGCGACTGGGGATTTAGCAGGTTCAAGCAGCGCCTCCATGATTTGATCACTACTCTTTTCACTCTCTATCCTTAATTTAAGAGAAGGAGAGGGTCTGGAGTTTTCTTCGTCCATTTCATCTTCCATCAAACACAAATCATGGCCTCAAGACCCGAATTGAAGGTATATTTGAATCCAAGCTGGGCCGCTGAATTTTTGAAGCTGACATTGAGCACAGGTCGACGACGAGGGCGGCTTCATCCGCTTCTTCAAGTCTCTTCCAGATATCGGCGACGATGCCGTGCGGATATTCGACAGAGGCGACTGGTACACCGCCCACGGAAGCGATGCCACGTACATTGCCAAAACAGTATGACATCCGTCGCGTCAGGCTGCTTTTACCAGTCCGCACCTGTTCTAACGCAACGCAACGCAACGCATCCAGGTCTACAAAACGACGTCCGTCGTCCGACAGCTCGGCAAGAATGACCACACGGGTCTCCCCTCCGTCACGATATCCACGACCGTCTTCCGGCAGTTCCTCCGCGAGGCCCTCTTCAAGCTGGGCAAGAGAGTCGAGATCTGGCAGAGCCCGAGCGGCCGCATGAACTGGAAGTGCGTCAAGCAGGCGTCTCCGGGAAATCTCCAAGATGTGGAAGACGAGCTCGGTGGCCAGATTGACTCGGCGCCCATGATCATGGCCGTCAAGATCTCCGCAAAGGCTTCCGAGGCGCGGGCCGTCGGTGTCTGCTTTGCTGACGCCAGCGTGCGAGAGCTCGGTGTCAGCGAGTTCCTCGACAATGACCTCTACTCGAACCTGGAGTCTCTCATCATCCAGCTCGGTGTACGAGAGTGCCTCATCCAGTACGAAAAGGGCGACAGGGAGAAAGAAAAGGACCCTGAACTGGCAAAGATACGACAAATCATCAACAACTGCGGTGTCGCTCTGGCCGAGCGCCCTGCTGGTGATTTTGGCATCAAAGACATTGAACAAGATTTGGCTCGCCTTTTGAAAGATGAAAAGTCCGTGGCCATGCTGCCCCAGACAGACCTTAAGCTGGCCATGGGCGCGGCAGCATGCCTGATCAAGTACATCGGTGCCCTACAGGATGCCTCCAACTTTGGCCAGTACCAGCTCTACCAGCACGACTTGGCTCACTACATGAAGCTCGATGCTGCCGCTCTCAAGGCTCTCAATCTCATGCCAGGTCCCCGAGACGGGTCCAAGACGATGAGCATCTATGGCGTGCTCAACCACTGCAAGACTCCCGTGGGCAGCCGTCTTTTGGCGCAGTGGCTGAAGCAGCCGTTGATGAGCAAGGATGAGATCGAAAAGCGGCAGCAGCTCGTCGAGGCTTTCTTCACCGACACCGAGCTTCGGCAGACCATGCAGGAAGAGCATCTGAGGTCAGTCCCCGACCTGTACCGCCTGTCGAAGAAGTTTCAGCGCGGCAAAGCCAATCTGGAGGATGTCGTCCGCGCCTATCAGGTTGTCATCCGCCTGCCAGGCTTCATCGGCACCTTGGAGGGAGTCATGGACGAGGCATACAAGGACCCCCTTGACGATGCTTACACCAACAAGCTCCGCGAGCTGTCCGATAGTCTCGGCAAGCTCCAGGAGATGGTGGAGCAGACCGTGGACCTCGATGCCCTGGATCGGCACGAGTACATCATCAAGCCAGAGTACGACCAGAGCCTGCGAGTCATCCGTAAGAAGCTTGACCAGCTCGATCGCGACATCCGGCAAGAGTTCAACAACGCCGCGCGCGATCTGGACCAAGAGGCCGACAAGAAGATCTTCCTCGAGTCGAACCACAAGGTCCACGGCGTGTGCATGCGCCTGACGAGACAAGAGGCCGGCTGCATCCGCGGCAAGTCAAAGTACCTGGAATGCTCAACCCAGAAGAACGGCGTCTACTTTACCACAAAGCAGCTGCAGGCCTATCGCCGCGAGCACGACCAGCTGTCGCAAAACTACAATCGCACCCAGAGCAGCCTGGTGAACGAGGTCGTCCAGGTAGCGTCCTCGTATTGCCCGGTCCTGGAGCGGCTCGCCGGCGTGCTGGCTCACCTCGATGTCATCGTCTCGCTCTCGCACGCCGCGGTCCACGCCCCTGAGGCCTACGTCCGGCCCAAGATTCATCCCCGCGGCGAAGGTCAGACCAAGCTCACCGCGGCTCGCCACCCCTGCATGGAGCTCCAGGACGACGTCCAGTTCATCACCAACGACGTGGAGCTCACGCGGGACAAGTCCTCGTTCCTCATCATCACCGGACCCAACATGGGCGGCAAATCCACCTACATCCGCCAGGCCGGCGTCATTGCCCTCATGGCCCAGGTCGGCTCGTTCGTGCCCTGCTCCGAGGCCGAGCTCACCATCTTCGACTCCATCCTCGCCCGCGTCGGCGCCTCCGACTCGCAGCTCAAGGGCGTCTCAACCTTCATGGCGGAGATGCTCGAGACGGCCAACATCCTCAAGTCGGCCACGGCCGAGTCGCTCATCATCATTGACGAGCTCGGCCGCGGCACCTCGACCTACGACGGCTTCGGCCTCGCCTGGGCCATCTCGGAGCACATCGTCAAGGAAATCGGCTGCTTCGCCATGTTCGCGACGCACTTCCACGAGCTCACCGCCCTGGCCGACCAGTACCCGCAGGTCAAGAACATGCACGTCACGGCGCACATCAGCGGCACCGGCACCGGCGACGCCAACGCCAAGCGCGAGGTGACGCTGCTGTACAAGGTCGAGCCCGGCATCTGCGACCAGAGCTTCGGCATCCACGTCGCCGAGCTGGTGCGCTTCCCGGACAAGGTCGTCCGCATGGCCAAGCGCAAGGCGGACGAGCTCGAGGACTTTACGACCAAGCACGAGGACCTCGGCGTGAGCTACAGCACCGAGGACGTCGAGCAGGGGAGCGCCATGCTCAAGAAGGTGCTCGTCGAGTGGAAAGAGGCCGTGCGGAACGGGGGGCTTCAGAGCAAGGAGGAGCAGGTGGCCAAGCTCAAGGAGCTGGTGGCTGCGGACGAGAAGCTGCTCGCCAATCCCTTTTTCCAATCTGTCAAGGCGCTCTAAAGGGGATTTACATGGGGTTTGACCGGGGGGGGGGGGGAGAAGCAATCAAAAGCAGTCTCTATTTTTGCTTGAGCAAAGAAAGAAATGACATTTAGTGGTTGTCGCATTTCACAGCGTTTGAAGTTGGGATTGACGGCATTTATTGGGAACGAATCCTTTCATCGGGGCGGATATACACAATACGTATAGTAGGTACATAGCATGACGATATGCCAATATTTGAATGGGATTCAATAGTTGAATGGGATTCAATAGTTGAATGGGAACCCTGAAGCCCTCGGGTCTACTTTGAGATGGATTCGCTGATACTGTTCTCAGCAGCCTGTGAATTCAATGCGTCAGCGTGCAATTCGTAACAAGCAGCAGATGCGGAATGAATCAGATGTATAGAAGAGATTCCATCAGACAAATAACAATGTAGATATGGTGATATGTAATCATCGATATCATAAACAGCCTCTGAAAGCGATTTTCATCATGGAAGGGAAAACAAGACCAAAACGCAGGGTGAGATAAAGAGGGTAAGAAGAGAGGAAAACGTACCTTTTCGTGAGAAATCTCGCCAAGCCACATGCAGACAGCAATGGTGGTAGCGACGGAGAAGACGGAAAGTTCAACGAGAACAGGAAACAAAGAAAAAAACAAAAAACGAAAATCCGATTAAATCTAGCACCGCATCTCTTCCGCACTGGAATGCGATGACAATAATATGTACAAGCTGCCGTGGACTCACCTCAAATCGTTGGCAGCTGGTTGACGTTATACTTCTTTTTATACTTTTTTTTTTCTTTGCTTCTCCTTGAATATTCTCCCGCAGTTTTACTGGCTGCCCTCAACAGAGGCGCTCACGGGGTTGACTTCGAAGCCATACTTTTCCTTGATCAGCGCTCGTCTCCGCTCCTCGTAGCCAGGAGGACGGATGCCTGTGTGTCGCAGTGTCAGCGTACTGAGCAAGCTGGGGGTCACATCCTTACTATAGAGGAACTCTCAGAGAGGCATAGACTTACCTCGTCCCTCGCCGATCTCGGCAATTGTCTGCTCAACGGGCAGCCGGGTCGTCCGTCGGACAATCTCCCTGCGCTCAAACTCATCCTCCTCCTTGTAGAAGCTGTCCAGCCGTCCACCAGCGACGTGGAAAAGGCCCTGGACGGTACCGACAAAGGCACCAAGACCCATCACGATGGGCATGCGCTTGACTGTGCAAGAGCAAGAAGAGAGGTTAACCGTCGGCCATTACCGAGAGTCATATATAGAGGTCTGAAAGGGGTGTCCTTACAAGGAAGTCCGAGAACACTGCCGCACATGAAACCTCCAAAGGCAGCGGCCCAAGCATCCTCCTTCTCACGCAGGTTCATCATCGTCCGGGAGAAGAAAGCATAGGCACCGGGACCAGCAGCTAGAGACAAGAACCCCCACCGTCAGCGACAAGAAGATTCAACTTCGCCAATCACTTGCTGTCCAGGAATAGAGCCAGCCAATCCGAATTGGACCGAGGGGGTAGTATCAAGCCATACCGCAGATGCCAATAATGGGAGCTCCCCGCGTAAAGACGCTCATAGCGCCCACATTGCGCTTGGACAGGGCATTCTGGATGGCGGCGATGAAGAAGCCGCTGCCCAGGCCGACCAGCGAGGTCTTGGCCGTCTCGTCGAGGACGTCGTGCGGCACGTACGGCTTCGCCATGGCGGACGTGCGGGAATTGCGGGTTTGCTGGGCTCGCCGTTTGGTGATGGGAAGAGAGAGAGGTGGGAAGAGGAGCTTGTTTTGACACTATTCTTGCGGCCTTGGATGCGTCACGTGATGGCTCGGTGTCATCAATTGGAGTGTTGTGATTGGACAAAGACTAGTAATTGGAGTGCGATTCCATGTTCCCGCATCATTGGTACGTACCTGCTCGGCCCCACCAGCCCACCAAGAGATTCGGAGGTGCAAAAGATTGCTTCATACAAAAAGTCGTATAAGGAATCGAAAACTTCATGATATAGGCGACTTTGGGTATCTCAGCGGCACTGCATGACCAATTGTGAACGCTGATAGCTTCTCCCAACTGATTGACTTTCTCGACACTCGGCGTTCCCCTGATATCGCCGCTACAAAGCTTCCGTAACTCATCATTGCATGAGAATCCCTCGGCAAGTTCTCACACGAACAAGGACCAGCAGCAGTCAACCTCAACACCAAGGGAACTCCATTCAAAAGGCCCCCGGATCCAATCATACATTCTTGCTTCAACAACTCATTTGAAACCCTCTCAAGCACCTTATAACATCATTAAAGCCGTGAAAATGAGCTCCCTGGAAACAGAAGCGCAACAACCTCCCTCAGAACCAATGGACACCACTCACCAAGAAGAGGCACAAACAGCCACCACCACCACCACCTCCTCCTCCTCCGCGCCCTCAACAGCCCCCCCAAACCCGCCCATGTCCAAAAACGCCCTCAAGCGCCTCCGCAAGCAGGAAGAATGGGAGGCCGGCAAGGACGACCGCCGCAAGCGCCGCAAGGAGAAGCGCCACGAGCGCAAGACGCGCGCCCGCTCCGAGCGCGCCGCCCTCATCGCCCAGGGCGTCGACCCCTCGGACCTGCAGAAGAAGAAGACGCCGTCGACGCTCGTCCCGGTGGGCATCATCATCGACTGCGACTTTGAGGAGTACATGATGGACAAGGAGCGCGTGTCGCTGTCGAGCCAGGTCACGCGCGCGTACTCGGACAACAAGCAGGCGCGGTACCGCGCGCACCTCTGGGTCGCGGGCTTCAACAAGGGGATTGCCAAGAGGTTCAACGAGGTCCTCGGTGCTCAGCATAAGAAGTGGAAGGGCATCTGGTTTGACGACGGGGACTTTTTGAGTTGCGCGGCCAAGGTCCGCGAGAGGATGAACGCTGCTGATGGCAGCGGAGGCGAGATGATTGAGTCGCTGCAGCGCAGTCTCGACGAGGCTCCGGCGTGGACGCGCGACGAGACTGATCCTTTTCCTCTCCCTGATCCGGAGCCTCCTCTGGATGAGGCGAACAAGGACGTCGTGTACCTGTCGTCGGATTCCCCGTACACGCTCGAGCGGTTAGAACCCAACACATGCTACATCGTAGGCGGACTGGTCGACAAGAACCGCGAAAAGGGCCTTTGCTATCGCCGCGCGGGGGAAAAGGGCATTCGAACGGCCAAGCTGCCCATTGGCCAGTTCATGGTGATGCAGAGCCGGCAGGTCCTGGCGACCAACCACGTTGTGGAGATTATGCTCAAGTGGTTAGAGTGTGGCGACTGGGGGCGGGCGTTTCTCAGCGTGATTCCCAAGAGGAAGGGCGGGAGATTGAGAGGCGAGGAGCCTGGTGAAGATGCTGGTGAAGGCGAAGGTGAAGGCGAGGCGGGGGAGGAGGAGGAGGAGGAGGAGCACGAGGATGACGAAGGGGAGAAGGCCGGAGAGGCCGAGGTATCAGAAAGCAAGGAACAAGGTCTCGCTCAAGTAGATGCCACGGCAGATGCTGGAGATGAAAACAAAGCTGAACAAGTAGAAGAGACTTCATCATAGACGTAGCGGCTGCATGCAGCGCCTGGAGTAATACCAAGCGAGATCCAATACCCAATGCTTGTTGCAGAAATTATATGTTCCCCATTATATGCAAGCCGGTGATAGCCCTGTGCCGCGCAGAAGAAACCATGGTTCACCGTCATGATAATCTTTTTCAAAACTCCATTGAGTCGTCCTCTCGCTCTCTCTTCACCTTTGCCGTCCCTTCATCCCTGAGGATCCCCGACACAAACGACCGGAATTGCTCGACATACGGCTTGAGGCTGGTCTTTTCCCAGTCCGCAATCTTGACGTGGGGCTTGTCGTCACTATCCTCGCCGTCCTCTCCACCCTTCCAGCTGTCGATTTCCGCAAGCAAGCTTTGTACCGTCGGCACGCTCAGGGGGTCGAAATCCTCGAGAGCCTTGGTATCAATGGGCACACAGACCCGCCCTGTGCCGGGATGCACAACAAAGGGGCTCTTGAGCAAATGGTTCAGCTTCTTGCTGACCTCAATATCGAGGCGGGGATAGGTGTATTCCAGTACAATATCCTGTTTGGCTTCGAGCAGTGCTTTCGAGTCCAGGTGCTTGCTCGCACCCGTCTTGGCAACGGCGTCAATGTCAGCCCATTTGGACGTCGATGACCGGCCTGGAGCCGCCTCCCACTTGCGGCGTAATGATTCGTTGAGATTGCGGTCTGGAAGAAGCTGCAACAGTTTCTGGGCTTGTTCGTCTGTTGCCCAAGGATCCTGGACAGCCAGTACGTCCTCTTGGAAGTGCGTCTTGAGGATATCGAGACTCCGGCTGGAACTGGCGTGAGCATTCGTGACAAACGGACATTCTGAGCCGATGATTCTTCACGTACCTGAGGTGAGGGTGCAGCGGCCTCTTGACATTGACCTTCTTGCCACTCTGCGAACCACCCCTGATCACTTCCAGGTAGTTTGCGATAGCCCTGCGCTTCTGGTCGTCCAAGGACCGAGCCTTCTTATCGCACACCCAGGCGTGGGCTCCTCTTCGCCCAGAGTACACCCACATGATGTGCTTGAAGCCAAAGTCGTCTCGCAGGGCCACATCGACAACCTTGATGGCCATGGTCATGAACTGCCAGCACTTGTTGCAAATCGTGGCCTTGTCGCAGCACGTTCGGATGTCGTCGTAGTCGGTCAAATCGATATCGAAGCAGAGCTCTTTCGACAGCGGCTTGAAGGCGGATGAGTTGCGCAGGGTTTTTCGGTCTCGCGGGTTCGTTGTGTAGACGGGGCCGATTTCGAAACGGGAGGGCATGAGGCGGAGGACGTCTTTCCGTAACCTAACAGCATCGTGAGCATTGGCAGTCTTTGATGACTCTTGGGCTTGCACCCGGTTCCAGCTTACAGATCTGCGGTTGCAAAGGACTGGTACCGCAGATAGGCGTCATTTTGCAGAGTAAAGGCAAATTCGCGATTGCCAAAGTCGTTGGAGGGCGTCGGGCTGTGGTTCAGCCACTGGAAAAGTTGTCGCCAGGGGAAGAGTCGCTGGTAAAAGCTGCGCATGACCTCCGGATCCGAAGCCGGCATGGCTCTAATCAGGCACGCAAAAGGTCAGCTCACACACTCTCCGTCGACGTTCCAACCGATCAGAAGAGGAGGAGTACATACGAAGGAGAGGCTGCCCGTGCTGGTGAGCCCACAGCCTCGCGCTTAACGGGCGCTGAGCTGGGAAACTCGTCGTCGGAGTCGTCATCTGCGAAGAGCTCGTCCAGCTTGATCTCCTTTTTAGATGGCTCGGCCTGGCCTGCGGACGGCGCGTCGGCCTCGGCCTCGTTCATGTCGACGTCGACATCGTCTATGGCTGCGGCTGTCTCTGCTGGAGCAGCGTTGCTGGCAATGTCCGCCTCGCCGTCCATTTGCTCGTCTTTGGTGGGTGAAATGGAATGTGGCATTGATATTCAGCCTGTATTCCACCTCAAAGCTGAGAGCCGAGTCTTGTTGACTGACTGCTGCTTCAGTTCTTGATCCTGCAGACGATGCCCTGGATCTTGCGCGGGGAGATCCAATGCTGGCACGAAACCGGGAAACGCGTCTTGACGCGTAAAGTGAAAATGCCACCCGACAGCTGCAGCAGGCGTACCGTGCATATACAGTGCCGGGACGGTACGCCTAAGCAGTACAGCGGCCTCACCTCATTCACAGCGCTCTCCAGCGGCCGCCTTTAGATGAAGCTCCCTCCAGCTCCAAAGGCACCAACCAGCGTCCAGCCTGAGACCCCGAAACAGCAACTCCACGTACCCGAGTATTTCCATCTTAGTGCCTCTTCGCCTTGGTGCGCAGAAACCGCCTCTTTCGCATCAGCACCAGCACACTACGAGTACTATACCATCTAGTATTCCAAACCCTCCTGTTGCAGTACAGCAGCAAGCCCTCACAGCTTCCCACAAACTCTCGGATCGTCTCCGAATCAGAACGCCCCCCAACCCGGCCAGGATCCTCCTCCCGGCTTCATGCATCGACAAACGCAGAATGCAGGGCCTAGAAAGTTCCAAAGCCGCAAGCTATTCGTCTTGGCAAGCAGTCCAACTGCAATAAGTCTCTCCACCGCTCTAATTTGTTCCTATCAGTTGTACCATCCAATACTTGAGGTAGCCATCTTTGTACCGGGTCGGTTAACCATCGAGTTCCCTACCGCAGCTGCTGTGTGCTCTGTATTACTCTGTAGTAGTTAGCAGTACTTCATCGCCTGACAACCATCTGAACACAAACAAAGCAAAGCACCATGAAGCAAGAAAGAAAACCTCGTATCGCTCGCGTAAGTGCTACCAGCCCCAAACCCGCCCTCCCAGCTGTATCACACAGACAACCTCCCGCCGTAGCCGACACCGCGCATTCTCTACCTATGTTACTTTGAACAGCACCTACAGCACAGGTAGGCGAGGTAAGGTAGCATCAACGCAAAAGAGGCTTCCGGCATCAGAGACCCATGCCACGGCATTGATTGCTGCATCGCTTTCGTAAAACGGATGCGTACGAAGTAGCACCTGTCGTAATGGTGCATTAGCAAGCATGCGGCGGCAATAGTGCCAAAAGCAAGCACCCTGATAGATTTCCATGTTGGTGCTGGCAGCAAACATTGCAGCTGTCAAGGCCTCAAGAATCCTTCTTCTTCCCGTAATCGTATTCTTCCTCTCTCTCACCTCACATAACTTCATGTCGGCCTTCCAAATGCTCACACTGATTCTGATCTACAATCAACCCTCCAAATCAATGTTTCAACCCGTTATTCCTACCAAAACCATCTCTAGGGACCCAAAGAGTTCCGCTTACATTCTTACATTCCCCCAGCTTCACAAACACAAGAACCACCACAAATACACCATCAATGCCTGTCCAGATTGAAGAAAATAAAAAACAACAAACTCCGAAACAAAATTCCGTCATCATCACCTCCCCGCCTCCCTCGAGATTTAGCGAAACACCATCCAATTGCCCTCCGGAAAACACTCAGAACCTCTTTCCCCGTCCCCATTGTTTTCCCTCGCGGTCCCGAGTCCAGACCACGATCGAACCGCTCTCAGGCGCCGCGGCATGCATCATCGGAACCCATGGACGGGACCAACGGCCGCGGACATGTCAATCATTAAACCCTCAAAAGGCCTGAGCTGTTCCTTCCATGTTGACCATTCTGCTCTCTTTCCTCTTCTCTCCTTTGCAGTCTTCTCTTCTTGCTCACCTCCTTCCGCTCTTTTCCTCGTCTTATTCTTCTCCCCTTCCACCATTCTTCTTTCCCTTGCCTGTATCATGACGTCGGTGCCCGCTCCGTCTCACAGTCGTGGGTTCCGTATAAATTACCTGCCCAGTCCTCCCGGACATGCTGCTCCGCCGCGCTAATAAACGACAACCTCGCCCAGCCCAGCTAAATTCGCGACATCCTCTTTCCCCCCGGCTTCCCTTGTTTATCAAGTGACGTTGGTGCTGGAGATGCGCAAATCGGATCTTGCCGGCCCATTTCTTTCTCCCGCACAGCAGGGGGGGCCAGAGACGAAGAGTCAGGTCATAGGAAGAGGGCCGGGTGTTTTGATTACCGGTCTCTTTATAAAGCTTGGACGGCTCCCATCTGTCATACCGACTCTTTGAATCCGCGATACTCCGTACCTACCCAATTCCGTTCTCGGGGACGCCTCTACTCAGATCTCATTCCTGATGGCTCCCTCAACTCACATCTGATCGATAACCCATATCCTACCTAGGCAACCAAGGATGGTCGTCCACTCTTCGCTCACGAAATGGTAAGCTTTGGAAGAATTACTCAAGGAAATCAATCATATAATTAACCAGTTCCCAGTCATAGGTAGACTGTCACCATTTCAGGCTCGCGATGTTCCGCGTCTATAACGGCCCTCATCACCGCTTCATCACAGAGAGGGAACTGATTTCCTTCCAGCCGATCTTCATGAGACACCCATGTCCTACCCAAGCATATATCATTCCAACTCCGATTTTCGTTTGCTTCAGAAACAAAAGAAGACACGACAAAAACTGTTTCCTATCCTTTCCGGAAATTTGGCCATAGAATGCCCCGGCAAATATCCAGCCCGTACGAAATCATCCTCCCGACCAGAAAACCCAAGAGAGCAGATGGAATCCATCTTCGACGATGGACATGGGGAAGACAAATTCCTCCTTTGGTTTACAACAAGTCATAACGCCGTGTAACAACATTCCCATGCAACAAGTGAGCCAAAGATTCGACAAGGGAAATCGGGAACTGAAGGAAAGAGAAGATTGAAAATTTGAAACCGGGGAAGCGGTAGGAGGTAAGAGGACACCAAAGACAAGAACAAGATGGCCATCCAACAAGCACTTCTATGCACGAGAACGGGCGTCAGCCCTGACATTAAGCGTAATTTCGTTGCGAGTTGTTCAGACGCTGGCGCTTCTCCGGAGGGCTATCGTGATCGGATATACGGCCTGAGGAAGCATCCATCGTCGAATACCCGCCTCTACCCTGCGTCATGTTATACTGGCCGCTCCCGTCCATGAGCCCAAAGCCCTGGTCGACTCCGTTCTGCGACATGTGGCCCGATTGCCAGTTCGAGCCGCCGGTTCCCGTGGGTGGCGTTGGAGACTCGAACTTGATGGGATTGCCCGTCGTGCTCAGGTAGGGGACGTTCATGAGAAATCCGGATCCGTGCCCGTTATCCGACTGGTTGGGCGGGTTCTTCAAGAGGTGTTGCAAGTTTGTCTTGACAGACTTGAGCATGCCTTCCTTTGTGAACGGCTTGGCCAACACTCCATTCATCCCTGCACCCCAGTCAGCTCAGAGCCCAACGGTTACACGCCCTCTATCCAGGATTCTTACCATGCTCGAAATATCCATTCACCTCGTCTGGTCGAATATTTGACGTCATCGCGATGATGGGCGTGGTTGGGCAGTGCTGGCGGATATACATGGTAGCTGACACACCGTCCAGTCTGGGCATGATGATGTCCATGAAGATGAGGTCGAAGTGGTCGCGACCAACGGCATTGATCCTGTTATACGCTTCCACTCCATTAATCTGCAGTTTGTTAGCCGCTAACGCCCGACTGATATGCAACGCGGACCACAGGATGCGCAGCGCCCCCTCGATCTGTCCTTCTTCTTGGGATTCAGTCCACTTACGGCATGTTCAACATCACAACCCATGGATTTGAGGAACTTGATGCCAATCTTGGCACACGTTCCGTCGTCTTCTACCAGGAACACAACTGGCTTCTTGGGCCCCCACAGAGACGCAGGCTTGTCCATGGATTCCGCAGGGCCTGACGCGCTATTCATCTGGTTGGACGCTCCTGGTTGCGCCGTGTGCTGCTGCTGCTGGTGTTGGTCCAAGGAGCCCGAGCTGCCCTCGTTGGGCATGGCGTACGGAATCTTGTTGATGTGATCCGAGTGGAAAGGATCAATGCCGACGGTCTGCCCTACAGGATATACGGGATATCGGCTTATATCATTCATGGGGTCATGCATCATGGGCATCGATACGGGCGTTACCATGGTGGCCGAGTCGGCAGGGGATTCGTAAATGTCGTGCAGGCGCTCAAGCTCACGATCAGCTACGGCGTCGGGGGCGACACTGGACAAGAGCTCTCGCGCCCTCCTGAGCTCCGGCACAGCTTCGTCCCCGTCCGACGTCGACATGCCGCCATTTGAGTTCATCGAGTGACCCATCATGCCGCTATTCCGGCTATGGTTGTAAGGAGAGAGATAGTTGAGCATCTCGTGCTGCGCCTGCTTCTGGGCATTGAGCATCTTCTGCAGGGTGAGGACCTCGTTGACGAGGAGCCTGTTGGTCTGCGAAACGTCGGCAAACAGCTCTTGCAGCTGCTGCACTTGCTGCTGCGTCGCCGTCAGCTGCTCGGAGATGACGCTGACATGCTGGCTCGTCGTGAAGTCCTCTGCGACCTGAGGTTTTCTCGTGGCCGGCGCTTTTCGGCGGATGTTGTCCAGGTCATCTTTGCTGTCGACGCGGAAGTAGGGATGTTTGAACTCTAGGACCTGCACGCGGAGGCCTAACCATTAGCTCATGCGCGCCCCGCGTGGAAGAGCCATGGCTCTTCGATCCAGGGGAGATTCCATCTCTGCCAAGGGAACTTACGTTGCCGTTCGGGGAGGTGGAATCGCCATCGCCGGATGGCTTCACTTTGTGAAAGTCGTACTTGTTGAGCTGTCGAATGAAGCTTGACATGTTGCTATGCTTGAAATGCTTCGGTAGGATGGATCTTGTGAACTTTTCGCCCTGATTGGAGAATAAAGGTCAATGCAAGTGCTCATGTAACACAGTGGCAGCTGCCATGGATCTTCACCTCGACAACGACGAACGAGTCGCCATCTTTTCCCCATCGAGCCACATCCTGATGCGACGGGTCTTCCAGCATGCTATGACAACTGTCAGCTGAAGTTGTAGAGAGTTTGGAATTCGCATCGTGTGTGGGCAATTACCGAAACAGCTTGCGGACCTGACATCATGGTTCAATCAGCATTTGATGTAAGACGTAGATAAAGCAGAGAGCAGAGAGCAGAGAGCGGTCCTACTCACGAATTCACTGGCATTGTTTCCCCCGCCGCCCTGAGCAGCGGAAGCCTCCGTGCCAGACATTCTGGGCCGAGCCGGTGGTCTGGACCGAGTTCAAAAGCACGACGTGCGAGGAAGCGACGCGCCTCCAATTGAGGCTCAGCGGCGGCCAAGAGGCAACAAGCCGCAGTCGCAGAGGCAGCAAGACCTCGCTTGGAATGTGCGTCGGTAAGAATCCCCCGTCCTTGTCCTCAATTTCCGTCTCGATATTTGTTTTCGATCTGCGTCGTTTCGGGGGGGAGCGATAAAGATGCTGGGAGCTGGGCTTGGGCTTTCCTGGCCTGGCTGAGCGGACCGGAGCGACGGCAGAATCCCAAGTCGAAAAGGCGCCGGACACGGAGGCGGTGCGCCGGGCTGGCAGGAGCACGGGCAGCCAATCTGTCTGCAAGCCGGGCAAAGGATGTCGCAGAGAGTCTGGCGAGCGAGCGCTGGGGGGACCTGGGCGCTTTCAAAAAGGGCGAGCGAGAAGGGCAGATGCGAGCGAATCTCGTCGAAAGGCTGGATCGAGGTTGGACGATTTAGCCCAGCTCCGTCTTGGATGGACGAATGGATGGCCCGAAAGATGGGAGAGCGGGTGGGCCGCGGCTAAGGTCAATCGGTAAGTACAGCGCTGTTAGTGGGCGAGCCAGGGCAGATCAGGTGGGTGGTTCAGAAGGGCTGGGCGCTGCAGAAGACGCACTGGATGCACTGGAGCTGCAACCTGATGGGGCTTGGGGGCGCCCGTACCTGTACTCGCGGATGAGGGCGATGGACTTGCTGCTCAGGTATCGATACACGTGCAGCAGAGGAGTTGCAGGTCAATTGGAATCCTTCATGCGGCTACTAGTAGGGGAGGTGAACGGGGCTTGACGAATCACCCATTCAAATGAGTCTGTCCAATGGGAGGATCAAAAGCAGGAAAAAGGGAAAAAGAAAAGAAAACTTGGAAACGGATCAACTACGACCCAACAAAACACACCGAGTCGGCTTCCAACTTGGAACGTTGAAATAAAGGTGCTAGTATATTAACGAACCCCGTCTTTTTCCTCACTAAGAAAATCATTCCAGAAGAAAAAAATTCACAAGCGTGTATCCACAACAAGGGGGAGAATAATGAGAAAGGAAGAAACAAGGACGAAGGTGCTAATCTAGCTTGCAAGCAAAGGGGAGACCCAACTTCAAACTGGATTGTACCAATCTATACCAAATCTTGTTGCTCGTTGCCGTGTTCTGTTTAGCCCAGATCCGTGTGGCGCTCCCTAATGCACGGTACGTGGACGGGTCTTAGTCTTTTTCCCCCCCTCTCTCAAGCCTCGGTTTGTTTTAGGGGGGGCACTAGAGCCGTGTGGCGCATTGCTGGTTCACACGGAGCGCGAGTAGTGCGCGGCCTACCTTGCTTTGGACATTGACCTCGACTCGATCACTTGGAAGCCCTAGCTGTGTTATGTATACTACTATATGGGCTTCGATGAGTTTCGCTGAGCTGTTCGATTCGTTACTTATCTGTAGAGACATGTGCTCTTCTCTGCCTTCCATGTACTGTACGTCTGGATGTCGCCTCGCTGGGGTCTTTCCAATGTGCAACTTGTGAGCTTCAGTGCACCTTTCCCCGCGGCGTACCTATACGAAGCAAATTCCGTGGGCTTCGCGAGGGTGTCAAAGTGGCAAGCAGACGATGAATACCCAAGGTAGGCAAGTATTTTTACCATGCAAGCCACCTCAGTAGGAATTATTGTACGAGATACATATCATCATCATAAGAGGCGTTTGGCGCTGTGTCCTTCGTGATATTATTCATGGGTAGGGAGCTCCACCTCTCCGAGAACCATCTCACATCAAAGTTGGCAGATCGGATCTACCTAAGGCAAATATCTGTTCCGAGTTGAGAGTTGTCTGGTTACTTGCCTCCTCACTGGAAGTGAACCCTTTTTATGAATCGCACAGCTAAATCTTGTGCACACGGAGGTATGGTGAAGTTCATGTCAGATATAAAAATGAGTGCTGGTTTTTTTACCAGTGGTTAGGTATTCTTTGATGAGGGAAGCATTCAACGCAGGCACCACGAAGTAGCCATCTAGAAGACAGCACGTCCGTGAGTGTCTGTCATTGAATATGCGATGATGAAGCCGTATCGTAAACATGTGTTCTCATCAGCTCTGCCACCACCCCCCATCTTTCACAGCCCACCTGAGCACTTCTCACGCGACAAAGGCAGGTACTAGTGAAGGGGATGCCATCTGCCATTCTTCTGATGCCCGTCTGGGGGGATGGGGACGCGGCAAAGCTTGTATTTTGATGCATGTACGGCATGCAAAGTACAAGGGGGGCTGAAGAACGAACACGGCTCACGACTTTTCCTTTCTGTACAGGTTCTCTCAGTCGAGAATCGACTCATACTACATGCAACACACACACAGCCTGTCATCAGCCCCAAAAGCAAAAGGGAAACTCGGCGACGAATAGAAATCCTTCAGGACCAGCCGCTTCCCTTAGCCACATTGCAAGCTGTCATGGGCAAAGACCTACTACTACTAAATCACAAAACGTCCCAGGTCAGACAAATCTCTCTCTCCCTTGCAGCAAAGCAAAGCAAAGCCCAACGAATAGCCTCGTCCGCATTTCTGGGCTCGCAGCGGGCTGCTGCAGCATTAACGGCTCCGCCTCTCGGGTTTGTCTCGTCCCGTCTCGACGTCGAGATGTCATTGGGCTCCGTCGCAGCGGTACGCCGCGGTCTGGAAGCCCACAAAACGAGACCAGACGGGATAGTAGTTTGTACCCGTCCCATGTCAAAAGATGCAGGGCAATGAGCAACAGACACAAAAGCTGAAAAAACAAGAAATATAGGTACCTAGGCAAAATAAACATAAAATTCATGGTATTGAGTGCTCTTTCTCCCCTTGCAGCTGCTCTCTGTTACGCGCCAAAGGATGTAGTAACGAGTACATGCACGTCGTGGCAGGCCATCCGCGTCGTCGGTACCGCTACATCTTCTTGCTTTTTTGGTCGGGTCCAGCATCCGTCAAGCTGGGATGTCCAAATTTTAGGCTCAGCGGACCGGCTTTCCGCAAGATTGCCCAGCCGCAGCCTCTCTACTAGTATCAGGGATCATGCTCTGCTTTTGTGCGAGGGCGTATTGATACAGGTCTTGGCACCCTGTGTTCGTACAGGAAAGATGAAATAAGGTACTTGACAATTACTACTACCTACTGTGTACCTGTGAGAGTATGTAGTACTAGTAGTAGGTGTTTAGAGACTCTAAAAATACGTGAATCAGTTCTGAGACAGAGGTTAAAGCCATCATTTACACGGGGCAGAGACGGTTGAGTGGCATGCATGCGGTGTCTGCGTTGTGTTGGCTGTAAATAGAGCAAGACAAGACACGCAAGGGAGGAATGGGTCTCCTTTTTCATGGTTAGGTATCGTATGCCATGCAAAAGAAGCAAGGATGGTGACAAGGTACATACTACTGCGACTACTGATATCATAACTCATGTATCTCGATGTAAGTCGGAACAGCATCCGTCAATTCCCAGCTCTGGCATGAATGAATGAATACCTATGGAGATGGACGGACACCCGCTGCCGGTGCTTTCTTTCAATTTGCGATGGTATTCGTAGCATCTCTCTCTCTTTGATTTGTCAACCTGCTACATGTAACTGAGATCCGATTGGAATCTGACTCGACTGTCCTCTGCCGAATCCTTTCCCCCGCATAATGCAGATCAGCGCTGTATCCAGCGATGCACGTCCCTCCCGGCTTAATCTGGTGAGGTAACCTCAGATGTCGATACCATCTCGATGCTTGTATGCAAAGCATTTGTCCGTGTACTCTGTGCTACAAAGCACCAGATACGAGTGCCATCTCTTTGCAGTGTGAAAGCATGCAGTAACCAGACACAACGAGCTTTAGACAGCAATGGCACATGGGACTTTATGATCTGGAAATGCTTCATCTATCTTTTCCCTCCGTTGACCACCCCTAACCTAACCTTTGGCAGGAAAGTATTTCATATATCGAAAGACGTAATGCCCCCATTTGGCACCCGGGCCCTCGTCGGGAGGAGGACACGGAGCGTACTCGTCCAGGTCCACGTCGAGGCACCGTATCACCTCGAACCCTGCCTTTTCGTAGATCCTCCACGCCGGCTCCGACGAGTGAACCCATGCGAAGACGCCTGCCTCGTCGCAAATCTTGGTTCCCCAGCGCAGCAGCGCGGATCCGATGCCTCGTCGCTGGAACTTTGGTGACACAGAGAGCCCAATGACCACGAGGCATTTGGTGCCCGGGGGCATCACCTCTCTCTGCCACGCATCCAGGTCAGCGCCTGTAAGAGCTTGAAGCCGCTCAATGGGATCGTCTCCGATGTCGGGTCCCGAAGCACTCTGCTCAGGCGAAGGTGCCTCCCCATCCTTTCCCTTCTCCTTCTCCTTCTCCTTTTCGCCCTCTGACTGCGATGCCGCCGGGGCAGCGGCCGGCTTTTCAGGAGGTTGGATCCTGCCCTCCAGCAATGGCATCTCGCTGGGCGAAAATCCAATCAGCCCCCAGTTGCAGAAGCCAGCAAACTCCCCCGTTTCGTCGTCGACGGCCTTGAGTATCACGCATCGGGGCGACGTGAGCATTTTCGGAAGGCTCTTCGTGTGGTACTCTTTCATGTTGAACGGGTTCCGGCCGAGAGCCTTCATCTGGGTCTGGCGATCCGCCAGGAAGGCATCGCTGCTGAGCTGAGCTGCCTCGGGCACGTCTTCGAGCTGGAGAGCCTTGATGGTAAAAGTCGGCTTAGCCATGATGAAATCTGATAGCGGACGGCTGTTTCATGCTGTGCTCTCGTCTCTCTCATGGTCCTGCATGGAAACTCGGCTCCGAGGCTCGTTAAGTATTCGTCCCAATGCACGTTGAAGCGCACTCGTGCGTAGTGAAATGGCGGGGTGAGCGGCGGTTGAGTCACCGGCGAAGAATGGTTGAGAACAAAAGTTCTGCGTATGGCCGTTATCAATCCAGCAGCAAATCATCAGTTGGAAAATCGCGCTTCCAACCATCATGAGGCCTCTGAGCTAGCCTTATGAAGCAGCTCGAGGACCGTGTTGGCATACGAAGCCCCGTCGCCCTTGAAGTCCTGCACAACCACCGTCTTGTCTCGCGATCTTGCGCCCTGGGCCAGAACCAGCTTCGACTTGGGGATGGCCAGGACCTCGCTGAGAACCTCGATGACGGCTTGGTTGGCCTCGCCATCTTTGGCCTGGGCCGCGACGCAGAGCTCAATCGCGTCCTCCGTCACGGCCTGGATGCCCTCCCTGTTCCTGCTTGCGCCGGGCTTGACGTGCAGCCGCAACTGCAGGATCCCCTGGGGCGCCTTCTTCGAAGCGGCAAGGAAGCGCACGGCTGCGCTGGCCGGAGATGATGCCATGGGCAGGCTGTGGATAGATTGCCTGAATCTTTCCGTGTCCTTGGACGTTGAACAGAATCACATGCGTTGCGGCCAAGCACCGACTCTGCCGTTTTCATCGGCTACAATAAGGTTGAAACGAAGAAGACGACAAGACGCGGGTGGAAGCGCCAACCCTATCGCCACCGCATCACTTGCGAGTCGCAGAAAGACGATCAGCTTACCCGCCGGCTTCAGCAGATGCAGCTAGAGCCGGGCTGATGAGATAATCTCACATCAGACACGCAACACAGCTCCAGAAACTCAAACGTCCCCCAGACCTTTCGAATTGCTCCCCCAGACGAGCAGCGCACCGCCAGAGGTGCAATGAACGCAGGGTCAGTGTCCGTTGATGCTCTCTCAATGGATTGCATCAGGTCCCGAGGTGATGACGGCTGGCACCTCGGAGCCAAGCAGCCACTGCCGTATAGATGGATCGCTGATGTGCTGACGCTCCAGTGCACAGCCCGCTAAAGCAGGCGCCCTTCAGCAGGGCCAGGCGCTGTAAGGCCGCCTGCACCAGCTCCGGCTCCAACTCCAGGTATATATGGGCCAGCAACTTGAGCATATGCGATTCCACCTCCAGCCCGAGCCAAAATTCTCGGCCCAGCGCCTGCATCACGACTTCATCCCGCCTCGCCCAGACGCATCGCAACCTTCAGGCCCGATCACCGAGCATCGCCATCGCCGCTCGCAGCCGCATTCGCAGCCTCATCGCCTTGCTGTCGAGCGCCATGGCTTCGGCCTTCAGCGTATACAATGGCGCCCCCAAAAGCTCGCCCTTCACGGTCACGGCGCTCAGTCGATGGTCCATTCTGACGAAGCAGCTCCCACGTACGTCATCCTGCATGTTGCCATCCCCGACTTGATGAGACTTCATGCGTTGGTTCGCAAGCTAACATGACTGAATCACATCAGCCGTCGACAAGATCAAAACGCTCCATGTCTACGACTTCGACAACACACGTGCGTATCCCTCCTGTGCTATCCCCAAGTGCCAACTGGGCCGGATGACTTCGATGCTGACTTTGAGACAACCCTCAAGTGTTCAGAACTCCCATGCCGAATCCCTCCCTGTGGACTGGACCGACGATTGGATTGCTTGCGACCCAGGAAGCCTTTACCAACGGCGGATGGTGGCATGACAACCGCATCCTCGCAGCCACGGGCGATGGCGCCGAACAGGAAGAGAAGAGAGCCTGGGAAGGTTGGTGGAACGAAAAGGTCGCCGACCTTGTCAGGCTGAGCACGAAGCAGCCGGATGCCCTCTGCGTGCTGCTGACCGGCCGCTCTGAGCATGGCTTTGGCGAGCTGATTAAGAAGATGATTACAAGCAAAGGACTCGAGTTCGACATGGTCAGCTTGAAGCCGAGGGTGAGCCCCTCTAACCAGACGTTTCAGAATACAATGCACTTCAAGCAGCTGTTCTTCGAGGCCCTCATGGAGACGTATTCGCAGGCGACAGAGATCAAGGTGTACGAGGACCGGCCGAGGCATACCAAGGGATTCCGAGACTTCTTCGCCGAGTACAACAGGCGTCAGATCGTGGCGCCCACGCGAGGACCCATCACGGCCGATGTCGTCCAGGTGGTCGACGTCTCTACCCTCCTTGACCCCGTCGTCGAAGTGGCCGAAGTTCAGCACATGATCAACCAGCACAACGCTGCCCTGTGCAAGGAGCCTTCGGGCAAGAGCAAGCTCATGATCAAGAAGACGGTCTTCTTCACCAGCTACATGATTGGCGCCGAGGATATCAAGAAGCTCTTGAAGCTTGCCAAAATCCCTCCCAACATACCCAACAGCGATCTCAAGTTCCATGCCAACAACATCCTCATCTGCCCCAGGCCGTGCCCAGCAAGCATTCTCGATAAGGTCGGCGGCATGGGCAGCAAGATGTTGTGGGAGGTCACCGGAACTGCCTGCTTGGACAATTCCATCTGGGCTGCGTGCGTGCGTCCGGTTCCGCATACGGCCAAGTTTCACACCGACAACCCCGTGCCCCTTGTGGTTCTTGCGCTTAGGAAAGGCGCTCGTCCCATGGATGCCGGCAAGATCAAGGTTTGGCAGCCGTTGCCGGCCGAGGAGCGCTTCACGTTTGAGACGAGTGTTGACGAAAAAGTCATATTGCGCATCGAGGCAGAGGATCCCACAGAGGATGAGTATCAGAGCCTGTTCGCCAACAAGTCCAACAAGCGCAAGCACAACGCGGATGAAGAGTGTGCGGGTCGGTCGGTGCAGTACACCAACCGAAACGAGACCAGAAGCTTTCATACCGGCAGGGGACGTGGCAAGGGCGGCAACCCGAATCGGGGCCATCGCAACGCTGCCAGGGGCGGACGAGGCGGACGAGGACGCGGCGGCCATGGCTACCGATCTCTCGACGACGTCGATCCCAGGGGTCAGGCGGCTCACGTTGCTGCTGCTGCTGCTGGTAGTGGCCCAGGCTCTCTTGGCCGGGGTCGCCCAATGGGCGCACAGCCATCCATCGGTGCAGATTTACAGAGTTACTACTAGAAGTAGGATGGCTTGCGACTTATATTGATACCAACATCAATATGAAGAAGGGCGGCTTTCTGCCACCTGGATGAGCTGGGGAAGATCAAGGCCCAGGGGAAGGACAGATCATGTTGCTTCTTCTTTCATCTGATTCTCACTCACGCAGAAATCTTTTCAGGGGTGTTAACATGAGTCTCTCCGTAAGACAGAGCAGAACATGGCTGTCAAGGACGACCTCGAGGGAAATTGGGAACATGGCGCTTTAAGGCACATTGCATTTACGATGAAAATCGCATGGCTCGGAAGAAAGGGGCGGAAATGTTTGGTTGCTTTGTTTTTGTAGGACATACTCGGATTAGCTAGGCTTTCTCATGATGCATGACGCAGGCAAATATATAATGATACCCAGCTTGGGCGAAACGTCGCTCCCTTCTTATTTACTTGAATGAAAAGGTTCGTTGCTTTTACTGTATTGTATCTTTCTTTTGAAACTTTTGATAATAATGTCTAATCACTATCATCGTCGTCGTCGTCATCATCATCCTCATCATCGTCGTCCTCCTCCTCCGCATTCTCCAACCACTCAACGAGCACCCTGCACTTCTCCTTAAGCCCAGCCATGGCCTCGCCGTCCACGGCCCGCGCATCCGCCCACCAGCCCAGGATGCCCTCCTCCTCGAGGATGTCGAGCGCGTAGAGCTGCTGCAGCATGGCGGGCAGCAGGGTGGCGCTCTTGCCGCCCTGCTGCTGGTCCTGCCCCTGCTGGCCGCCCTTGGCGTAGTGCTGCAGGGCGCGCTGGAGGGCGAGGATGAAGTCGACCTGGGCGGCCTGGCCGCCGCCGACGCCGACCTCGCTGACGAACTTGGGGGCGCCCCTGCAGGCGGTGAGGGCGCGCTCGGCGGCCTTGCTGGGGTCGAGGCCGCCGTGCTCGGGGCTGGCGAGCTCGACGGCGCGGCGGACGAAGGCGGTGGCGACGGCCTTGCGCATCATGGCGGCAGCAGCAGCCGTTCCCGACGTGTTATGGGCGGCCTAGGGAGTAGAGGATGCCGCAGGCGTAGTCGCTGCCGTAGCGGAAGAGCTGCCGGCGCCAGGAGAGCTGGCACTGCAGGTGGCCGTTCGGGCAGTGGCGCCTGCGGTCGGAGCAGCCGGGGCTGCCGTTGCGGCGGGGGAAGATGCTGGGCCTCCTGCTGCTCGAGCTGCTGCTCCTGGGTAGGGCCGACGTTTTCAGTGAGTAGATGAGGGAGCGGTTGATGTTGGAGAGGTCGAGGAGGTAGAGCTGCGAGCGGAGGCTGCGGCTGAGGCTAAGGCTGCTGCTGTACCTGCCGTTGTTGGAGGAGAGGCGGCTGCGGCGGTTGAGCTCGGCGAGGGCGGAGAGCAGGAAGCGGAGCCTGCTGAGGCGGCCGTTCTACAGGAAGGTGCGGCTGCGGCAGGTGCCGGACGAGCTGCGGGACGCGCGGCTGAGCCCGCTGAAGCTGAGGCGGTTCGAGCTCAAGTACCCGGACGCGGAGCGGTTGTTGCGGAGACT